TGACGACGAAACAATTAAAGTCCATTTAAATCAATTGAAAGTTGATATATCGATGTCACGGGTCCCCTGAACTTGAGAAATGGTTATTCAATTTGCCTGCTGTCGCATTGTGCATTATTGTTATGCATTTCATTATATGGCATTGTACTCTGGGACTCCGGACTTCGACACGCTCTTTAAGGCACAATGGCTTTCGTTTAACCATACAAAACTTGTTTCAGAATTAAATTCACTTAATTAGTGGTTGGCACGAGTCTCAATTTGTGGATGCTGAGTGGCATTTTGGTTTCTTGCGACAAATAGGGATACCCTTTATGTGGAGAGCTTCTTGAATTGATGCTATCTATCAAATAGACGCAGATCATGAAGTTAACAAAAAAATCTACAACATCAAACATCATTTGAATTAAGCTAGGAAACTTGTTTGAACCAGTTTTATTTCTGTTTATATTCATTAAGTAAATACAGTATTATAATTTATATGATAAACACAATGCGCAGATGATTAAGTATTTCAGCTGCTTTGTACTTTGGAGGCAACCCTCGTCTCTTCCATATATATATTTATTTATATATTTACTTTATGATCACATATTGCAGTGCATTTGAATATCGTTTATTTATGCATAGGTTTTAAATATTATATAATACTTTATTTGACTTTAAACGTGTTTTCATTCTTTGTGCTTATCAGTTTTGGGTATTTATTTTTTTTTTCTTATTTTTATCGAGAGGTTTTTTTGACGTGTTTGTTTCGTTTCTATGTTGTTTTATCTGCGTGTTTAAATGTTTTAGCGAATTCCGGTTCGGCGACCCTTTCACTTAATGGACCGAAGCGTGTTTGACAAAATCTTAAATAATAGAATTAGACCCGGCTACACACATAGTCTGTAGGCACAGAAATGGTTATGAGCCTTAAATATATATATAAATGTTATCGAAACAAAATGTAACTTTTACCAATATTCATTTTTGATTGTATTAAAACGGATAAGAATCCAACGGATGTCACCCAACATTTTGCCATAAATTTTACAACTTTGAGTTATTTTTTAATATCTCCTATGAACATTTTTATTAACTTTTAAACATCAGCTTAAAGCGGATACGAATTGCGTTTATAACTTTGCTATTTTGTATTTTTTATACCCCTAATCCGCTAGGTATCATTTTCGATAATTGCTTAATTAGTTAACCAAAATTAGTTGTTGTATATTGAACTTAGGGTATCTCCTAGTCGAGCTGTCTCTGTGCTAAAACATTCGAACTTGTTCTTGTCACAGCGGAGAGATAAATTTGGGTTCCGATCAGACCATATTCTGTTAGCACCTACGTTTAAGCCACATATTTTTCTTTGTGCATCAGCTGTAAACAAATTTGAATAAGCCATAAGCAGAGCCAATGCCAATCGACGAGGCATTCAAAAGCCACGCAACGTGAAGTAAAAAATGTAAGTAAATAAATAATGCAACAACAAATACGGGCATTAAATATCGAACTTGGCCACAATTCACAATGCAAGCAATGCAACGAAAATGGTTTCGTGTGGTTTTTCGCATTCCTCACTCCACCGAGATCCCCCCTCCACCCTACCGCTTCCTGCTCCGCACCCACGTTTCGCCATCTCTCCGATTTTCATGCTTAAGTAGCTGCATGCGAGGGTCGTTGATTAGCTAATTAATTGATTTATGTTTTGGTTAGCTGCGAAACTCCTCAGAGTGACATCACTGCCACTTTCGACTGTTTCGACTGTTTTCGCTATTTTTGGTATTAATTCTATTGTGGATTTTGCGAATGTGGCAAATGTCTTTTGGCATAATTGAAATGGAAGTGTTGTCATATTTTTAATAGCCTTTATTAAGTATGCTTTGCAGCTGATGATAAATACTAATTCAAAATGAGCTTGGTGTGGGTGTTTTTGATTTGACTGCTTTGACTGCTTTGACGAATCGACGCATCGACAAATGTGGCAACACAAATAATTAATGAATGAACACGCTCATTGGCAATGCCAGTTAACATCCAACAAAAGTGTCAGCTTATTCACTTTTATTATTGTAGTTTTATTTATGTATACTCAATAAGGTTGACAAAATTTTCCAAAAACACTCGTCAAATTAATGAAAAACAAATATTCTCATTTCGATATGTGGTTTTCAACAATCCGTTGCAGACAAATACAATAACACAAATAACCCTATTGGCAAATATGCTAATTGAGAAATTTGCAATGTGCAAACGTAACCAAAACCACTGCAGCCACAATTGTTAATTGCGGTTGCATTGGCAACGCAATGTGGCCAAAATGCCACAGCCTAAGCTGCATGCGGGCGTTAAAATGGGTCTTACACAAAAAAAAAACCATTTAACACCAGCAGTGGCAACCAAAACATGGTCGAGGAGGAAGCAAAAGCATCAACATCTTAAATATTTGTTTTTTTGCTAGAGTTTAACTTATATTTAAACGGTTGCTGTGCGATGTGTAAACTAACTCTCAAAATACGAATGTGTCATAATAATAAAAGTAAGAAAAAGCTGATGTTAATCTTGTGAATATTAGTCATATTAGTTTCTTTTAATTTTAGAATAATTTACCCTGGTATTAAAAATCCGTTTAGTACTTTCTAAAACTCAGTTCGACTTTTTTTTATAGAGTGTAAATAAAATTGCTTCCATAAAAATCCAACGACTTCTTGATTACGCAAAGCAAACAGAAGTTTAGCAGTAAATTTATTTATAAATGACTTTTTACCCTGAACCCATTAAAAATGGGTAAAACGAGTATAATGGCTTTGTGCAAAGGTATGTAACAGGCTAAAAGAAGCATCTCCAAACCCATAAAGTGTATATATTCTTGAGCAGGATCAACAGGTAAGCCATGTGTCGTATATCCGGGACAAATCAAGTTATTTTATATATATATATATTACATATAAGATCAAAGAAATACTCAGTTATAGTGTATATGAGAATAGGTATTGTATTCCCATATACACTCAGCGCAATTCGATTAAAGACATTTGAATTTTTCCTTATAAATTTGAAAATAAAATTGTTGGTTTGTTGTTCCACAATAGTTTGCTATTTTAAATATACGTTAAATAAAAGAGAATAAAAATAACAAATTAATGATTTGTTTAGCCTCCAGATTTGTGAATAACTGAATAAAATCGATGTGACTTGGGTTCAACAACTTTTTAGAACTCAGATAGTGGGTTTAATTATTATAATTATTATTAATATTATCAATCCATCAGTTTGGCAAGAATACTGGAATATATTTAACAGCTGGGCTCAGAGTATTACTCGACTCGAGTTTACTCGGCTAGAGAATTGTTTTTGGCTCGATTACTTGGCCAACGCAGAAAACAGAATTTGGCAACGAGCGCCTAGAATACTGTTTATTTGAATTCTTGACTCCCATTGCCAAATTCTGCAAGAAATGTGACTAAATTTGAGTGTTAAATAAAAACAATGAAAATAAAAGCAAAAATTCTCAAATTTAAGCTTAGAATTTATCATTTGCTTTTGGCATTTTGCTTTGAGTCGATATTATTTGATGCCGCCCACGACAATTAACGTTTTATGATTATGCGATTATGTTCATTAACAAATTAACCAATGAGAGTCATTCGCGGTTTTGGGATTTTTTTTGTTTTGTTTTGTATTTTTATCATAATAGCTAAACTTTATAATGCTCGTGTTGTGTCAATTGGGGGGAGAACAGAAAACTGCATATTAATATCTATGCATCTATACATATATGGGATTTGTCTAGTAGATAGATAACATTCATTAAAATGAATATAAATAATTATTTATCGACTAACTGTCAACCAATTTGCATATTGTAAATATGTGTGGAAACAAAGCAAACATTCTGTTTTTTTTTTCGGGATTTGAATTTATGACTTGTGTTTGAAATATTGCGAATTGTTGGCAATTATCTAAGTAGTTAAAACATAAAAATTAAGCCGTTTATTATGTAACCGATCGAGGCTCGCATTTTTTGTTGACTCTTTTTTTATTGTTGGGTATGGCTATGTGTAATTGCTGGTTGATTATTCGGTTTTATGGCTGGGCCATTAAAGTCAGGATAATGCGCATTGAAATGGGGCACTTATCCTGGCTTAAAAAAAAAAAAACATATAAATACTTTTCGTATATACATATACATATATATATCTTTTGCGTCATGCAAATGTCTTATCTAATTCATGCAAATTTCGTATCTGTTTAATGACACAATAAATGGTAAAAGGGCTACACGATTTGTGGCAGCTAATTTTGCCATTTCTGCAGTAATTAGTTGATGTTAATTGGCTTTTACTGTCGTTGTTGTCGTTGCTGTTGTTGTTAAATAACATTTAAACTGTTCGATGCATAATTGAATTGCACATAGATCGCTAAAAGGCAAAAAATGAGCCAAGATCAAAAATTTGAATATTTTTTTCTGGTAACAAGTTTGTTCAAAAACGATAAATTAATACAATTTATTGTTAATTGATTTCGTCTTCAATTTTGTTGGCGAATTTCTTCTTCTGTGTTTGGTTTTGACTTGAAAGAAATGCTCAATTTTTGCACCGCCTCAAAGCAGAAACTCTGCACGATGGCAAAAAGAGAGAAAAGAGAGAAAAATAAAAACTGAAGATGAGCAAAGCGCACGCCAAAAAGCAACTTATGCAATTCCGTTTTCTGTTTGTTTTCAATTTCTGCTGCTGCGCTTTGCCTTTATTTTTTGTGTTTCTTTTCTTCGCCGCAATGTGTGTGTAAAAAATACAACACACACGCCACCAATTTGATGCACATTTTGTTTTTCCACATTTTCCATACACACACACACACTTTTCACAGTTTTATGCAGTGCACTCGAAATGGTGTCAGTAGAGGAATCTGATGTTTTTATTTTTATTTTTTCAATTGACACTGAGAAAGTATTTATTAATCATTAAATACTCCATATGCAATTGCTGGTTTTCGGTTTTTATTTTTATATGCACCTTGTGGTTGTTGGGGTTGTGTTCCTTGATGCGGATGCTGATAATGTCGTTGCGTTTTTGAAATTTGCGTGCACGCGTCTTCTGCGTATTCGCGCAGCAACCGATCAACCGACGCGAACGACTCGCAGAAAGAAACTGAAAACCGAAACTGAGCAACGCAAGAGCCAAAGACAAGAGCCAACGGGCCGTTAACTCGCTGCGCAGCTGCTGCTGCTGCTGCTGCTATTCACAATACTTTTTTTCCCGCTCATTTTAGCTTTTTTGTTAAGCCACAGCTGGTCGCTTAACTATCATTGCCTATTCTTAGGCTTGTACCACAAATAAGCAATAAAAGTAGTATTGAGTATTTACCTTTTCTTATAGTGCTCAGGTTGCATTTTGGTCTAACCACATTCGTCCGTCTGATAATCATAAGAGGAGCCATTAAATATTTTTGATACACACTTGCAGCTTGCAGCGACATCCGTTTGAAGGGTGCGCCTGAAAGTATGCTTGCAATAATGTTGGCTCGTCTCGCCAAATTACTGCAGCCAACAGTCGCGTCAATAAAAACTCTGCTACCGCGCCACAGGCGACCATCAAAATGTTTTTGTGGCGCTGCATTGACGTCATTTAATTATGATTACGGTACGCAGGGGAAATGGAACGGACAGCGGAAGCAGCGGTAAATGCAAAGTGTATCCTGCAGGAGACGCACGTAATAGCAGCAAATAAATATAAATATAAATATAAATAAATGGCCAACATTATGAGGCGGTGGCCAAAGTGATTTACCAACACTGTCATGACTCATAAAATGATTAAAAGCCCATGCAGCTGTCGACTCCATTTTGTTATTTTTTTTTTCATTTTTCGCTTTCATTTTTTTTTTATTGGGCAGCCATTAAAAATTTGAATTGTTGCACGCGCTGGAAATTCAATTAGCCACTCGCCACTGACCTTTGACCCGCTCACAACAGGCAGGTGCCAAGTGTGCTTATATCATCATCATCATCATCATCATTATTATTATTTTAATCCTGCATGATCATTGTCATCGAGTGTGTTTTTGTTTGGCTTCCTGAGCCTGCAACACAAACGTTAAATATAAAATCCTATTTATTTGCCAATTTTACAAGCCAGCGCACAGCCCAACGGCAAACGACAAGCGGCAAACGACAAATGACAATGACGTCAGCACACCAGGGCGTCAGGCCAGAAGCCAAAAACTATTCACACAGACAGCCAACACCCCCTGCCCTTTCCAACACTGACAGATTGTGGTATATGTGTGTGTGTGTGCAGCAAACGCATAATTTCATTACCAAAGCTCGGCGTTTGTTTTCAATGATGTCATATGGTCGCACTCGGCCGGAAGTCCCAAGTCCTTGTGGCCAAAGTTTAACGCATGCGCCCCAAAAAATTCACTTCAATGTGGCAATGTGATGGAATGCACTCGTCGCTCGTCGCTCTTCGCTCTTCGACTGTGACGTCATTGTTCTCTCTTAAGCTGGAGCAAAAACTGTCGCCAAGCACACAGCTCGCTGGCCAACAGCTGCTGCTGTTTGCAATATGAAAACACCCTGTAGGAAATGCGACCATTGAAATTTAAGTTTATTTAGTTTGTCGATCAGTTGTAATTCGTTATTTAAATTACTGCTTAAATATATTATTATTATTACTATTACTATTATTATTAGTATTGCTATTATTATTATCATGTTTATTATTATTTCTCTTGCGTTTACCATTTTGTCATTAGCTACTGGGTATCTTTCGGTGTCTCCTTTGCATACTATTTGTTCGCTCTCGCTTATTACAAAGGGGGGAGGGTGGGGGCTGGCACCAACTGCGTTCGGTTGCCGCTGGGCAGCACATGAGTAAATAAATATTTATGTTAAAGTGCGCCCGATTCTGCCGGAACATTATCCCTTCAGTTGTAAGCTCTTCATTTGCGTTGCTTGAGTTGACGTTTGTTGATTTGGCTTTTGTTGTCGCCTTGGAAGCTGTCAGGACATTAACCTCGTGCCCCGCTTGAAGTATTCAATTACAGGGCCAACCAACTATAACAATAGCAACAACAATAAAAAAAAACAAGACAACCAAAAAACCAACAAAACAAACATTTTCCTCAAATTTTCTGTAATTTATTGTGAGTTATGTTTTTTTTGGTGTATTTCAAGAGGCACTTGAGGGGCTGGGAGGATGGGGCAAAGACAAATGTCATATTATGCAAACATTGTGCAAACAATCTCTTTGTTGTTCTTGTTGTTGTTCACCAAAGATGTTCCAAGTAGCCATTAAAAGGCATAACAAAAAAGCCAAACAAAAAACAAACAAATCAATGGAGTGGTCGGGGAGGGGAGGGAAGGGGGTTGCGGGGTTAAGGCTCAAAAGGAATCCAAATCCAACTCGATTGACATTGACGCAAATGTAAAAAATAAATCAAAGACAAACTTTTTCTACTTTGATTTTTGTTTTTGTAGATTTTTTTTTGTTGTCAAGCGTCTGTCGGGCTCAAGCCATTTCGTGCAACATGCTCATGTACATGTGGCAAGAGGCAGCGTCGCAAAATTTATCGCCGGAAGTGATTTTGACTGAAATCCAATCAATAAAAAATTATGCTGCTGCTAAAAATAAAGCAAACGAATGCTCAAACAGACAACAACAACAACAAACTGAGGCAGTTTGCCAGTGCGTAAAAGGAGGCAGCTGTAAACCCCCCCCCCCACACACACCCACTAACCAACCACCCCCTTCTGTCTCTCTCTCTCTCTCTCTGTGAGGCAGCCACATCTGAAGTGAAGTGGTAATGTGTTGTAAAAAGGCCTGCAAAAAAAGCAACAACAAAATGGAAAAAAAAATTCCGCAAATTTATGAAGCGAATTTTTCTCTCTAGAGACACGCGTTGGCGGGCGGCGTGCAGAGTGGGAGAGGTGAGAGGGAGGGGCAGGGGGAGGGTTGTGAGTGGCTGGTAGATGGACCCTCTGTATTCGTTGGCTGCCCTTTGTTTTTATGTTTTTATTCTCATTACGTGCCACTTGGCTTTATTTTGCACAATTTTCAAGTTCATATTGCTCGGCTTAAGCTGCATATGCCACAGATTGTGGCAAAGTGCCCAAGTCATTGATTAACATAAGCCAATAATAATTTGCCTCAATGCTCAATCTGCTTCACACAAAACACATAATTATTATCGAATTATAAATGCCAAAACTAAATTGCGTGCCACAAAATGTTGCCAACTCTATGGCAACAAACTTTCCATTCAAGCATTATTTAAATATAAATTAAGTTTGCTTTTGGCTTTTGACTTGCTTTCATTTCGCTACAACTCAATTAATCCCCAGAGCAAAGGGCCCAAAACAAATTTACAATAGATTGTCTTGGGTTAGGTTATGGCCGTATTTAGGGGTTGGTTTAGGTGGTTTACTAGTTTATTCTTTAACCACAGTGGAGAAGAAGGAGCAAGGAGTGAAAAACCAAGGAGCTAAATTCAATGCGACGAAAGATTAGCTAATATGTTGGATGCCAGATGCTGATTTCTGGATTAACTGGAAAGAGGCTGAGAAAACATCTTTACAATTCTGTTTCATGACAGCTTCTAAGCTAAAGTTTCTCTAATTCTCGGGGGACCCATCTGAGAAGAGATTTCCTTAAGTTCGATGAAAGAGCCTAAATAACGTAAGTAAGTAAGTAGCTTTCAGTAAAAATCGGATTTTAAAGTTTCCCTTTGGATATTACAATATATTCAATATTTTCAATTTATTCTTAATATTTATATATTCTATTATATTAATAGCTCAAATTGATTTGCGTTATTTCATTTAAACCTGAGAATAATTGATTGATAAATCAGGAAAGAAGAAAAACCAATTAAAAATAAATTAGGGTAGTCAGAAAACAGTTCTCCCTTGATAGTAGGCAATAGTAAATAATGAGTGATTATTTCCATAGATAATGCAATAATAAGTTAACATAACAATAGCTGGGAGCTGAGCAGGAATGTTAAAGTTCAAATAATGCGCCATTTGAGATAAATCGACAGGCGAAAGGAGAAAAGCACAATGTAAACGAAGCGAGTCTCATCCAAACAATAGAAGAGCAGCAAGAAGAGGAAGAATGAAAGAAGAAAGACAAGCAAGCAATAAGAACATCAACTGAGCTTGTGGCTAAGCGTGCCATCTACAAAAAAAAAAGTATCAGCATACGAGTGAAAGATATAGAGCGAGAGAGAGAGAGAGATAGATGGGCAGATAGTGCGACTGGAGTGAGCGAAATATGTAAATAAACACAGGCAACACAAGTCAGAGCAAGAGGCGCAAAAGGTTGCCCGTTAATTTATGGCCACATCTTACACACTCACTTGCACACACGACATACAGCCAAAAAAAAAGGAAAAAAAAGGAGCACGTGCAATTTGTCAAATGAGCAATGCAGTGACGTCATAAGACGAATCTTTGATAACAGTGCAGCGAGCGACGCTCTTAAATGCCAGCACACAAACGAAGAGAGAGTACACGAAGCAATCTCCAAGCGCGACGGTCACGAAGAGAGCGAGAGAGCGAGCGTATAAAAGGGCGAGCACATTGCAAAAGCGCCTCAGTTCTCTAGTGGAAGTGCCGGTGTTAGCAAGCGGGAAAGAACTTGCAAAGCTTTCCAAGTGGGCAGCAGCAGCAGCTACAACTAAATACAATATGTACCAAAAGTTAATAATATTGCCGATAATAAACCAACAAAACAAATAGATCACGCCTCACATATATATATTTTTGTAAATGAAGAAAACTGTGTAAGCAGTGCAAGACAGTGTAAAAATGTGAGTTAAAAAAACAAAAACAGTTTAACGGATTTATGATTTAGTAAATAAACAAATATAAACAATATATATATATATATATATATATATATATATTTACGGTGTACATATGTATATAAAACTAGAGGCAGTAGAAAAATAACGCCTGCTGGCAACATTTAACTGCGCAGCAAAATATGCTAGAAATCCGAGCACAAAATTGAACACAATTCTCCAGTGAAAGGCGCCAATTATAATTTCAATAATTATACCAAAAACATCAACAACAACAACAGCAGCTGTAGCAGTAGCAGCAGCAGCAGCAGCAGCAGCACCAACAACAAAAAGAGGTAAGTGTGACACACACGTGTGGCAGCCAGCAACATGTTACTCAAAATGAGCAGGAGTAGAAATTTTCCAGGAAATATGTTAATTTCACATGTGTATTAAAAAAAAAAATGAGCTGCCAGTAAACATTCAGATGAGACTTGTAGACACAACACAAACACACACACACATATATATATATATATATATATATATGGTCTATATACGATAACTCAAAGCGTCTTTCGCAAGCAAAAAAAAAAAAAAAAAGAGGAGAAATGAAAGGAAAAAAAGACGTAAACAAAATAAACAAAAAATTTCAACATGAAGACGGCGAAAGAAACACGCCAATGAACGTTGTCCCAATGATGATATAAAAAATGAGCACAATCCCATGAAGAGAACCGACGAAAGAAAAATGGATATGTAAATGTAAATGTAAATGTAAATAAATAAAAAAAAGTACAACGAAAAATAAAAAGAAACACGCTCGTTAATAGTACAACACGACAAGCATTCAATTTTCATGCCTCCTCTCGAAAAGCGCGTGGAATTTTTATTGGGCCACATTTCATTTTTGAAGCACTTCCCCAACCAACACACAGTTGCAGCAATGCAGATGACAAAATATTTATAATAACATATGTTTGCCATATATATATATATATATATATATATATATATATATATATATGTTTTGCTATATCTGCGAGTAAATGTCAATTTGCTTGTCGACAAACACTCGAAATAAACATGTGTATTTTTGGATCCATTCGTAAACAAAACGCATTTCGGCACTCAACTAATTTGCCATCTTTTTTTTTTAATTTTTAGCAAGCCACTGACAAATAAAAAGAACAACAAAAAAAAAAAGAAAGAAAAACATGCTAAATGCTAACAGGCAAATATATCTTCCATTCATACATGGCCACTAATCGACCAAAAATGATTATTATTATTATCGCTAACAGCTATGGCCAATAATTGCCAATTTTATTATACACATGGCTCATAAAAATAATGCATAAATAATAATTTGATACACATTTAATCCTTTCGCGGCACAGCTCATCAGATAATAATACTACTACTACAACTACTACTAGCGCTGCTGCTGCTGCTGCTGCATACATATATAAACAAATAAATTGATCGCTTGCCATTGTTTGGGGCATTAAAAACAAATAATGGAAACCACCCAAACAGGCACCCAACCACCCAGCGAACCCCATGGCGTGCAGCCGTTTTACTAATAGTCGCCCAGTTGTTGTGCTCTCTTGAAAAATGTTTTATCTTTTAAGCAACAAAATAAACACAGTAAACGACTAGAAACAGTTTAAATAAACGCTGCATTCATTTGATTCATTCGCAGAAATTCAGCCTATAAATATCTATGCATATATAAATACATATACATATTTATATATATAAATATCTATGTATAATCGTTGTAGGCGTTGCATTAAAGGTGTCATGTATAATCAGTTTAGCCCCAACCTGCCGCTGACTGCTGACTGCTGACTGACGACACAGACTGTGATTCAATTATCTTGCCCCACCTTTTTGCAAATTTTCATTACGTGTACATAATTCGATTTTGTGCAAGCATTTTGAATACATATTTTTGTTGTTTTTCTTTTTTTTTGAGGCGCGGCCCACAATATGGCAAGTTGGTTTTAGCAGAGAGCGTTTTATCCACTTTATTTTTCGGCATGTCTGATTTTAATATAATAATTTAATTACTCACTTTTCATCTCATCTCATTTAATTTTTCACTTTGATTTTAATTTAAAATATTTTTGCTATTGAATCCTTTTTGGAAATTTGTGAACACAATAAATAAATTAATGAATATATAAGTGGATAAATCAAATTATAGAAATGAATAAATAAATGTCAAACTGCATTTTAATCCACCCAAAAATTAAATAATAAAATAAATAAATACAAAGTGGAAAAGGAAATAGATAAGCAAATTAAAAACTGCATTTCTTATCTACATTAAATAAATAAATAAATTATGAAATAAATAATAAAGAAAAAGAAAGATAAACAAATAAATTTAAAGCTGCATTTTCCTAGCATTTCCTTAAATTACGACCAACTTGGCAAATTCAAGGCAAATTCCAATTATTCCACGAGTAGTTTCAGCTCAGTCTCAATTTTTGCTCAGCGCTCATCTCCCCGACAAGAAATTCTCTGACAAAGTCGCAGAGGCTGTGATTTTGTTCTCGGTGTTTTTGTTGTTTCTGTTGTCTTTTGTTTTTTGTGGCTTTTTTTTTTTTTTTTATCTATGTACGTTGTTGTTGTAGACTAATTTGCGATAAACTGACACAAGATTGCAGCTACTTTATTCAAATTATTATGTGATAAGCCGCAACGCAACGCAGCGCAGCGCAGCCCCGTAGAGCAAACAGAGAGCAGAATGCGAATACAACAACAAAACGAACATAAATAAATGAGGAAGACGAAAACGTGGAATATCAAATGGTGACAAAAACACAAAATGAGGCTTGCCACTGATTGCCTTTTGCCATCCAAAAATGTTGCCCGCCTTGATTGCGCTTGGATTTTCACAATTTCAGTCAAAAAAGTTTTTCCACTTTGCTTTGAGAGCTGATAATTTGATAGGAAAAGGCGGCTGCTAAATAACGAACATTTAATGGGTATCCCAGTTTATCGGGAAACCAATTCAGGTGCACGGATTTTCCGATCGTCATACTTGTCGTATACGCATTGCGTATACGCCCCTTATTGTATTTTATATTTTATAGGCGGGCGACGAGTGTGCTAAAATAAATATTAAAGTTGTTCGCAGACAAACCACACCGGTGACAGGCACACACAAAAAACCACACCAACCCGACACACACACACACACACACACACACACACAAACACACACAAACACACACACAAACACACACACACACAGAGATGCATAAATAAAATTGTACCTTGCTGACCACTTTGCATCTGTCCTGTTTGAACAGTTTTGTAATGCGATAAACCCATGTTCACATAGTTCCTCAACATTCACAGAGCTGACGCAAGGCAAAGTTGCTGCTAAGCCCAAATCCATGTTGCATGTTGCAGCGTTGCAGGTACAACAGCTGCGTTTGTTTGACATTTTGAGCTTGCCTACGGGCAGTGCTTTGTTGCCTTGTCAACTTGTACAACGACCAAGCACAAGGGATAAATATTTAAATTTATGATGGAGTTTGCAATTTCAATATTTAACTTGAATAGGAACAGAAAATGATTTTAGGCTGCTTTTATATGGAATTAAGTAACTTAAAATCTACAACAGAAACTTGCTTTTATTTTTTGAGTTTCTAAACTGAAATTCTTAAATCAGTTAAACCATTTTACGGCTGCAGAAATGCTATCGATAATCGATTTATATTGAAATTCGGTGTGCAGCGAGAGCTATCGATTAAATTAGGCATAATTGTACTAGTTCTACTTAAATATAAAGAAATAGATAAACATATATCAATTATAAATGTTTATATACACAAATAGTTAAAAAATGATTTATCGATATCGATTTTTTGTGTCCCACAACTGATCGTTGAGTAATTGTTAACATTGAAATTCTTCTCGTATCTGCATTTTTGAAAATTACTCAGCGTCTTATCTATTCCGCACAGCTTTCGTTTTCAGTTGTTTAACATGAAAGCTAGTCTGCTATTTTTTGATAAGCCGTGTAACATGGTATTAAAGGCTTATAAATTTGACATAACTAAAAAAAGACTGAGACCGCCGCAGATCAACAGAGAGCGTTCAGTAAAAAATGCATAATCTTTTGGTATATCAAACTTCTTCTTCTTTTTTTTTGTTTTTTATCTCACAGATCATTTGCACCCCAAACATATTTCATTGCTTATGAATCTGAATAAACATTATGTATAATGTTGAACATGGTTTGCTTTCCGGCAGTTGTTGTTGCTGTTGTTGTTGTTGTTGTTTTTATTTGCCTCTCAAACAGTTTAAATTAATGTTGAGCAAATCTCAAAATCTCAATCTTAGAATTCTTGTTTTTTTCTCATTTCTTTTTTGCAGCATGAAGAAGTGAAGAGGTTGAGCTGGAGCTTTCTACATCCGTTTTGCAGAATCTTTAAATATCCCACAATAAGCAAAAACAAAAGGAAGGTACGCAAACAGTTAATCCAAATACGAAAATCAACATGTTCATAAAATGTAAATAGCTGTTGGGTCGGAGGTCAGCACGCGAATATGAGTAGATGTAGATTCCGGGCTGTTCTGGCCCAACCTTAACCCCGGGGTCAGCACGTACTTTTCCATATATATATATATATATGGCCAGGAGCAACTCGTAAATTATTTGCGCGCGTGTTCAACAAAATGTTGAACAAATAAAAGTGGCATGTTTGAGCTGTTATAAAAAATGCGAACGAGAAATGTTGTATGAATGATTAAACTCAGTTTTGTTGCCACTTCTCCAAACTATTACCATAATCATGTGTGGCTCTCTCTCACTCACACTCTCTCTCTCTCTCTCTCTCACTCTCTCTGAGTGGCTGTATTATGGTAGGTGTGTGAACAGTTTTATGACACATAAAGCACTAATATGTTTGGGGCATAAAAAAAAGCGCCATTAACCATAGCCGGGGCCATAAAACAATTTATCAAAATTTGTGACATTAACTAGCAGCGACATCCTCATCAGTCTTTGGATCCCAACGAGAATGCGACAGGACATTAATACAGCCATATATATATATGATGATATATATGTGTGTGTGCGTGTGTGCCACATGGTCATGCTCATTAGGCGTGTATATTTCACACACACAAACACACACGTAGAATTATTATAGATGAAAATATGAAAATGCAAATAGCACACATCTTAGTGTTATAATAATTTATATTATTGTGCTTGGGGTTTATTCAATTAAAGCCGTGTTGCAAGCGATTGCTTCAGAATGCTTCTACACTCGAAAGAAAATCTCCATATTTTTCTCCAGCTTATTATACAGAAAGCTTATTATTTCATTCTAAAAATCGAGATTTTTGCCTGGCTAAGTATTTCTAAGCTTTTCTTATTATTATTAAAAATATATAAACTTTCCAGTTTATGTTTGTTTGGCATTGTTTAGCAATCTTTTTTGTTGCCTGAAGTATTATTAAATATTAACAGAGCATAGCATATATCGTGTCACTTTAGCCAGAAAAAGCAATTCTGTGGAAAAACTTTTAAGCTCGGGGGACGCTAGAAGGAGGCACAATATATGTCTCTAACTGATTGCAGAGCATGAAACCCCCCCAAAAAATAATAATAGTAAAGATTTGCATTTCTGCTTTTTAGAAATATATTTCTTCATAAAACAAAATATTTCTGAAAACTTTGAAAATATGCAAATATTATCGCCAAAAAGCAGCAAAAACTTTGTTGTTTGCAGTGCGACTTAATAAATTTTAGAGCGATTTTCTTTTCTGAGTGTACTGGTTTTATATGGTTATATATGACCATAACGATAAGCAGAAATAACAACAATACACAATCCGATGGACGTGTGCAGGGATATGCCATTTGTTGCCGACTGTTTTGCAATTGGACGCCAACCATTGATGACGCCATCTGTGGTCATTGTCCATTTTCCACTGACTCTTGTCTATTGTCATTGTCCGGTTTTACGAGTCCACTGCGCCATGTTAATGAGATGCAAAAAGGTTCACCTACGCTCCATTTACTATATGTATATATATATATATATATATGGATATATATATATATGCATATATGGACATTTTTGCCTAGCACAACTACGAGTCCCTTACTCTATTCCTTGTCACTATCACTTCCACTTGGCCATATTTGCTCCTTACAATTTAAGTGACGTTGACGTCCACGCGAATGTGTGTGTGTATGTGTGTCTGTGTGTGTGTGTGTGTGTGTGTGTGTGTGTGTACGTGCGATTATTTTGCCTGTCAGCGTGGGATCTGTTGGCCAAGAAGGTTAGCGCCTTTTTTGTCCCTCTTTGATACTGGCAATGGCAAATGGCAAATGGCGAATGTAAATGGCATTTCTTTTGCTATTTGTTTAGCCAGGCACAGCGAAACACAGTCAAAGTTGCTATGTGTGCGTTGTGTGTGTGTGTGTGTTGCACACTCCAATTAAGCGACAAAATTCTGCTCAGTTTCAACATTTTGTCAGGCTTGTTGATTTATTCGATTTTATGCGCTGCGCTGTGCTGTGTTGTGCTGTGCACTCGTCACTTGACTCTTGGCTTACATAAAGCAAGCACACACACACACACACACTCACATAAACACACACACACAGAGAGAGGCGGATACACAATCTGATATTCATCATCTCATCACGTATACGCCAAGGGGCACTTGAGAAGGGTTCGGTTAAGCCTTTTACGTCTGCCACAAAACTAATTGCCTACTTTTGGGCTGTGTGGCTTAATACGCAGCAATACTGTGAAAATATCACGCTGAAGATTGCAGGAATGCTACAATAATAAGCCAGAACAGAACAGAACAGAACAGAAAACACTTGCAGGCAAACCAAACACTTTTACCAAAACAATATTACCAAAACAACAATCAGTAGTTTGGCCAGAGACAAACACGTAGCTTCTCTCTGTCTCACTGTCTCTCTGTCTCACATCCGCATCCGCATTCGTATTCGCATCCGCATCCGCATCGTTGTTGTCCTCGCTGACGTCGTTGTAACTTTTCATTGGGTATTTTCGTTGCGGTTCCCACAACGAGGCTCTGACGTCAGAGCCGGCTGTGGCGGCTGTGGCGCTGAGTGCTACGTTCTGGTTACAATTTCCCATATATAAACTAAATCTCTCGCTCTTACTCAGGCTGTACTGTGTGAGTGTTTGTTTTTGCCATTTCAGTATAAAATTCAAGTCATTGCTGTTGGTGTTGATTGTCGATTTGAGCATTCCTGCAAGCTAAATCGATTTCGATTTTTGATTTCTATTTTGATTTCTATCTCCAGCAGAACTTACTTGGTTTATCTACACGTACAAGCCAAAAATACTTCTGACTGCCTGCCTGGCTGCCCGTCTGCCTGGTTGGTTGCTTGCTTTGCTTGCTTTTGCTAAATGACCCTCTCGCCATTTATCATTTGTCATGGCTCTCTGCGTGCAGCTGTGTGAAACTTCCGGTTGCCGGTTGCCACTTGCATTTGAGAATTTCATGATTCGCTGCCATATTCTACCGGCAAAACAATACTTTTGAAGATGCATTCCGTTTCCTGTCCAAGCCAAGATAATCTGAAAATAGTATATGAACGATTTTTGATATGGATTCGAGTGGACGTGTTAGTGATTGGTTCTGGCCTTTTGGCATTTTTGTAGTCAACTCAATGCACTCAATGTGCAATATTGCAAAATAATGGCCAAATCTTGTGCACCGTTCAGGCAAAAACTCATTGTTCAAAATTGGGTGGAAATTGAGAAAATAATTGGAATCGAATATCTAATTAAGTATGAAATACACGATTGCTCGCAATTCATTCAATGCTTTCTTTATACACTCAGAAAAAAATAGCTTAGATATATATAGATATAGAAAGGTTAAGTCTTTTTTTTTCTTAATTCCAGTTCAGATTTTTTTAAACTTAGAAAAAATTTAGATTTACAGTTTGCTTTATTCAAGAAAAAGAGGTTTTTTTTTTGCTTCTTCCAGGCTAGATATTTTTTAGTGTAAAGAAAATATTTAAGTTTCCCGCGGTGTTTTTTTTATATGTGTACACAGAATTTTCACATGGGTTTTTTTTTACTTATTACATTATTAAGTATTATTTAAAGATATTTTGTTCATTTCTAAGATAGTTTATAAATTCAATAAATTTCAATTTTTATTTAATTACAAACATTTTGCAATGAAAAACCCTTTTATTAAAATTGTAGCAGCCAAACACTTGGGGAGCATTTGGTTTAAGACTGCGACTGGGATTGCGATGGGAACAGCTGATGCTGTTGCTGTTGCTGTTGTTATTGGCATTGCCATTGCCATTGCTGTGGCTGTGGTTGTGGCTGGCAGGTGTTTTTTGCCAATGACTAAGGTTGGCCATAAGATAATTTTGTATATTTTTATATGATGCGGCTGCCTCTCGAAATGTATCACTGTCCAGCCAGTTCGATTGTCTGTCTGTCTGTCTGTCTATCTATCAGTGTGCATGCCTGTCCAACTGTCTGTCTCTCTGGCTGACTGAGTGTTTTTGTTTGTTTGTCTATTTTTATAACGCGCACTGGGGCCATTTGAAAGTCTTCTTCCAGCTTAGATATCCGCCAAGCTTTCTGTTTATCGAAGACAAAACCGTTTTTATTGTTCAAGAATTATTTTCAGCAGCACACACGTATGTTATGTATGTGTGCGTGTGTATGTAAACATAAATAAACCAACACACACACACACACACACAGAGAGGTGCTGGGCATCAATTTTCATTGAAAACTGTCCGCCGTCGATCAAACTGGAAAGTGAAAAGTCAAAAGGCTTCATGCGAATTTCACACCAAAGCGGAAATGTGCTTTAGCACATCGTCTGCTTTTGGCCTTTTTTTTTCTTTCGTTTTCGTTTTCTTTTTCTTTTTTGGTTTCGGTTTCGGGCTCGTTTTCCGGCCTGGCCAAGACCAAGGAAACCGTTTTCGGGTTTTTACAGCAAACGCCAATTTTGCATTGCTTCCGCACAGAGACAAAATTTGTTTAGACCTTAATCTTGGGCTATTTTTGGTCAGGCATTCATTACGCATTCACGGCAAGTGCTCGGAGGGGTTTTTCTTTGGTCGAAATACATTTCCAGCGAGTCGAGCGAGCTGCATAAAACAATTTGGCGACTGTCCTGGCCAACAACTTTTCAGCTAAGACGAACAATTAACAGCAATTAGGCGAGTTCATTCGGCAAACGTCTTTCATTTGACATCTGCGTCAAATGCACTTGGGCTTTGCAAATATTATTATACTTTAACTAATTTTAATATATTCATGGGTTCTTCTTAAAAAAAAGACAATTTCAGCAATTTTTCTTTGTTCGGCTTTGTGTCTGGAAAAGTACCCAAACAATAGAGAATATATATATATATATCTCTTCAAGCAAACTGGATAATAATATAAAAGTTATTGTTTTCTTTTCACAGTTTGCCTAAACTACTTTGGAGCTGTTGACATTTTTATTTTGGTGTAGCGTCAAATCGGCACTTAGGAGAAAATCTATGCGCAAATCCTATTTATATTTAATTTTTCATTTCATTTTGGAACGCTTGCCGTCATACTTTGTGCACTTGATCCTCGTAAAAGCGGGACGTGACATTACATGCCAGGACTGACAATGACGACGGCGACAAGCAGCAGACAGACAGACGGACAGACAGAGGGATAGACAGACAGAGGACGACAATGACACTGACAATGACAATGAACGGAAAGTGCGCGGACAGCAGCATCGGATGTGTACAATAAATTTGATTCAATTGCTTTCGAGCACTCTTCAGCGTGCTTATTGAATGCGCCTTTCAAAATAGAGCGTCTAACGCTTTTTGTTCTCGTCTGCATCTGTGTCTGTGTCTGTGCCTGTGTCTGTGTTACCAAGCACAATGGCGGTGACGATGCGCTTTTTGTGGCCAATGCCTGGCCAATGCTACTCGTCTGCTTCTCTGCTCCTTGAAGGCTTCTGCTTCAGCTGGCAAACGGAAGTAAGTTGCGCAAAGAGCAGCGTGATTCCGGCAATTCTTTAGTCACACACACACACACACACAGTCCGTATTATAGTTGTGACAATTGTGAATTCGATAGTCAGCTGCAAGACGATGCTAACTTTTAATTGCCAGAGACTCATAGTGCTCTAAAACTAAATAAGAGGAAACCCCACAGAGTGCATTATGACCCAGACACAGTAGCAAACCCAGAAGCACGCAAGGAAGTAGATTCAGAAAGCACATTCCGAATGAGATTCAGAAATAGATTGAGAAGCTGGCAAAGAAGTAGACCCTTATCAAACTCAGCAGCAGTTCAGAAGCAGACCGCGAAGCCGACAAGGAAACACTCCCAGAATCAGTCGCAGAAAACAGTCCCAGAAAACAATCCCAGAAAACAGTCCCAGAAAACAGTCGCAGAAAACAATCCCAGAAGCACATCCAAAAGCAGACAAAAAGCAAAAGCCCAACAGGCAGTTGCAGAAGCACACCCAGAAGTAGACCCAGAAGCACAGACCTCAACACATGTCCGTTAACCACAGTCGGAGTCGGAGTCCGAGTCCGAGTCAGTGTCAGTTTATCTGAGAGTTTATGGGCAAGTTAAAGCAGCCAGCACATGCAAAACCCAAAAGTGCACCAACAAATATATGGAATATATATGTGTGTGTATATGTGTATGTGTATATGGCCAACACATGAACACGCCATAAGCTGGCTTATGCGTTGATGGCCCAAACTTTTTGTGGGTGTGTGCCAAATACGTGGCATAAATCCATAATATACTGTCATTCGCTTCGGCTGCATGGTTAGCCAGCTGGAAGCAGATGCCCTTTTGCCCCAAAGGGCCAAAACCAAAAATTCCGCAACACTTTGGCCAAAGAAATAAACGCTTTTGCATATTGGCTATGTTTTTTTTTGTTGAGATATGTATAAACAGTGGCATGGAGCAAAACAGATAAATAATATTGTCCTTTCCATAAATGCATTTGGATAAAAGATTGTCCTGAACACATATATTAAGTCAGTATAATCTAAAATACCCTAGATGGGTTTCTTATAAGATAATTGGAACTTTTCTATATATAAATTTGAATATTTGTGTTTCCTTTAGCAGTTTGCAGCGATTGAAATAACTAAAAATACAGCAGTTTATTATTGTTTCAATAGTTTATTTATTTTATTTAGATTTATTTATATTTATTTAGATGTTGCTTATGTGTAACAAATTATATGAGATTTCCACATCGACAGACTCTCTGATCGTCGATGTTCTCTTTATCTAATCGTTTGTCTCTGCCTCTCTTTCTCTCTCTCTCTCTCTCTTTCTCGCTCTCTCTCTCTCTCTGAGCGTTTTGATCTCCATAGTTCCCATTGTTTCACACTTTTCTAAAACTCAGTTTCTAACTTCGGAGTAATGTCTCGATTTCTTTAGGAAATTCTATTACTGCAGAAGCTTTATGAGGAACTTATCCGTATCCATTTATCTCTCTATATCCACTTTATATGGATTTGGATATAGACTTTATAGCAACAATAAATGTCTGTCTTTCGTCGCTTTATAATCTTGCTCATTAAGTGGTGATCCATGATTTCAGCACTTTACAAATTTATGTTGAAAGAACGTTGTTTTTTATTCAAATTAAGTCATGAGTCATTTTTAATAGTAGGGGAAAATAACTGTAATATATATTATAAATCCACTCAGAACAAGTCTTTGTTTAAGCAACTTAAAGTCACAAAACACACAATAAATATTTGTTTAATTTGAAAAGAATAAAAAACAACACCAAAAAAAAAGAAAAAAATAATAAAGTTTGAATTTGATTATAAATTTAAATGAATCTAATCGGTTGAATATTAAAAACGTGATTTTTCAAAATTTAAGAACAAAAGAAAGCTTTTCCACTCACGGCACATTAACGAATAACAAATAAAAGAATCAAATTCGAAATTTGTATGCATAAAAATGTTTGGTGTCTTGGACATTTATATGTTAGATTTAATGGCTCTTTTCTGTGGGCTAAAAACAATACAATAAGACCATCAAGTTCTTTATGTTTGCTTGTTTCTCTGCTGTTTTATTTATTTATATTCCTTCAGTTTTTTTGTTTTGTTTTGTACATGCAATACATGTTATCAAACAAAGTCAAAACGAGGGACGAAACAAAAACAAGGCGCTCATAAAAAGGACAAAAACACACTGAAAGTCATTTTCATTTCATTTTCCATGCTGCTGCTGCTTCTGCTGCTGCTGCTGCTGCTTCAGTTGCTGCTGCTGTTGCTGCTGCTGCTGTCTCTGACGCTTATTGTTTGCGAATTACATGCTCAGAATGGTGAATACAACGCATAATCTAATAATATTTTATGGCGAATGGGCCTGTAATGGCCAGCATAGGAGTTCTGGCACCCTTCAAAGTCCGTTGAACTGCCCGGACGATCAATAAATGAATATATATATATATATATATATATGTATATATATGTGAATGGAAAATCTCAGCAATGTGAAGCTGAACGACTACTTCTGCCAGTGTCATCAATTCGCTGGCTGTTAACAATGCCACATGAGCACACACACTCCCCACACACACTCCCCACACACGCCACACACACACGCCACACACACACACCCCACACACACACCTACTTCTACTCCTCCCTTAACTGCCTTCTGCACAAGCATTAATGGCGCAATTAACGAGCATTATTTGTTGCGCATACGCCACGTATGCCGCGCGCGGCACTGTTTTATTTATTGGTTCTAGTGCAGTATTTTTATTAGCATTTTCATTAGTTGGCAACGCTGTAAAAAATTTTAATACATCACACACACACACACACACAAAGGCAAAGGCCGCGGCTCAGGCAATTTTTGACACGCCCACCCGGAGGCAGGAGTAGCGCCAAAGAGCCGCATAAAACAGCCAAGTGAGCTGTGAATAATGACTATTGTCATTATCGAGTACGGAGAACTCTATTCGCGGCTCTAAGAGAAAAGCGGGAAAGCGGGAAAGGGGAGTGGGGAGTACGGAGTGAGGGGAGGGCAGCACTATTCTCAGGCAGTTAAGTGTCTGTTGAATATAGTGCTCATAGTGTTTTATTGTCTTGAGAGCAGCAGCAAATGAGACGTGAGCAATTTGGGACGACAAAATATATGCCTCACAGCAGAACGAAAATGATAATTCAGTCAATCAGTTGATACATTTTGGAATAGTGACCTAAAAATAACTTCGCATCGTTCAAAGACAAAAGCTGTATAAAAATATTTGAGAAATGAATAAATGCCAAAAGGCGAAAGAGTAAAAATAAACGCTTGGCAAATTGAGATAGCAAAATATAAATGCATATATATATATATATATATATATATTCAAGCAATAATAAAATGAAAAGAAATTAGATTTATATATAAATTTAGAGATATATATATATATATATATATATATTGATGCGGGAATTATCAGGTTGGGCACCTGCTCTCTGGCCCGATACGTTGTGTGGGCAGTATCCGAATAGAATGCTGGCATTGTTCTAAACAGTGGAGGGGTGTGGTGTGTGTGTGTATGTGTGCTAGGAATGGTATGCGAGGTATGTGTGTATGTCTAAATGCCATCAAATAGCGTACGATAAATGACATGCGCCCAGGCTAAAAGGCAGATGAGCATTATGACGCCATAGCTATGACGAGAATGTCTGCCTTCTATGTGTGTGTATGTCTAGGGGACAATGGGATCAACTAGAGGGCAGGTCATCGATTAACGTGCCAATCAGAGCTAAACATAATTATTGCCATGCTGATAATGATGATAATGATGATGACGCGTCAAATGACATGGCTCCAGGGCAAGGGATTAGGATGAGGACTGGGAATAGGAAGAGGACTGGGAGTGACACTGGGACTGGCACTGGCACTGGCACTGGGACTGGCATTGGAACTGGGACTGGCATTGGAACTGGGACTGGGACTGGGTTAACCAAAGAGCGTTCAATATTATAATAGGCATTGTTTTTGAGGCTTGTGACGTCCGCTGGGGCTTAGGCTAAAAATACACAAGAGTTCATGTTGTCAAGTCACAGCAAATACGCGTGTGTTTGAATGGGTGTGTGTGTGTGCTGGTGTGTGTGTTTTGATGTTGTGCAAACCATTTTCAGCAATTTAGTTGCGAACACACAAATTTTATTGGCTACCGAAAGGGGGCATGTCCCAAGCGAGATAATCAACAAAAACACACACGCACAGACTCACTGACAAGCTCCGCTTCATTTTTGGCATTTGCATTCGTGGGGAAACAATTTTGCATTAACATTGTAAAAATACAATAAATTATGTGTTGCCAGCGCGACTCTGAATTAATGTTGAGTTGATGCTATTTGTTATTTGTTGTTATTTGTTGTTATTTGGCCAGAAGCGCATTACAATTTGTCACAACTTTTATTGCATACTTTCAGGCAAACATGAATATTGGCATTGCACACAAATGGGATAAATTATCGCCGCGAGAGTTTTTGCAGCTGCAGGAATTGGCATCATGTAAGTGCAACACTCTCTCAACCACTATAATAATTTGTATTTATTTCATATTTATATGCATATGAAAAGCGGACTTCATTTACTTTGTTGCCAATGATTGCAGTGTGGATGAGGCAACAAAACTGCATCAGACAGAGGTTTAAGAGTGGATACCACACCCACTTGGGAGGTCTGATATGCCTCAAGGTGTTAATTAATTCAACCTACACAAATAGATATAGATAAATAACCCAATGTTGGAATGTAAATTGCTGCCTACAGCTAGAATTCAAATCAAATCTGGATTTAGATAAACGAATACATTAAAAAATATAACATTGATATAAATATTTTTATTTAGTATCCCAGAGAACATGGAGCCATATTATTCTGTCCTTCTGTTCGTAACTTCTTACTTTTGTATAAGAGCAGAAATCTCAGCTCAGTTTTAAAGTTATCTTGATGCATCATATACATGGAGCAGGCATTGAATAGCTGCCTATCCAGACCAATCTCCCAGAATATACATCCCAGTTTCTTTCGCCTAACAAATAAACTAGTTTTCGGTAGTTATTTCAAATTTTTTGGAGAATGGATGACTCCGGTCTGCAAGCGATGCAATCCTAGGCGTGTTAAAGATAGCCGTGCTTCGTCTTTGATTCTGATTTATTGCCTTTGGAGTCACGCTACGTGCTGCTTGCTTTTGGTCATGCGAAACGAAAATTGCAATTAAAATCGCATTGCAATGATATTTCAACGGCAACCAAGCAAATCTGAAACAGACAAAAACGAGGTCCTAGTTACGCTCTCTAACGAAACGAAACCCAAAGCCGGCAATCGTCGGAGACCTGAAATCATAATACTGCTGACCTGATGATGATGTTGATGATGATGACGAAGTCCATATGATTTAATGTTTGTCATCTGTTTTTAAAGTGGCTGTTGGGAAATCCAACACAAACTCAGCACTTTAAATATTGCGGAAAGCTGCATGACTTTTAATAAAACGGATACCTTATGTGTGTTGGCATTGCTGAGCAGCTTTTAGTGGAACTTTTTACAACATAATGATATCCCTTAAGCTGTAAGTAGGAAGACTCTACTCGAGAAATATTGCCCAGCAGATGCCCTGCCTTTACCACATAAAAGAAAGCTCTCAGACACATTAAGAGACATTCATACACTGAAATATTAGTTTTTGTAGCTTTAAATCGATAAATATCGATTTCAGTTCCACGTTTTTCTAGTTAGTCAGAAAGGTGTTATTCATTGTAAGCATATAGAAAATATTTTCAATTTTACATTCACTTCTCAAATTCCCCAATATTTGAAAATAATAATAATCCAAGATATTAACTTGCAACTTGAACATTTTATTATTCTCAAGCATTACCCAAAAAATTGAGTGTAATATTTATGTTCTAATCGCGATTAAGAATTAGCCATAACTATTTGTGTGAGAGTTGAATTTATTGTGTTTTGCCTAGACTGGATTTGTATCTTTCATGTGAGGAAATTGAAATGAATGAAATTTCAGTATCGACAAATCTAGTAGCAAACCCAGAAACGTTTATTTCCTGGGCAGATTGGGTCGTCCCTGCACAGTCATGTGCAAAAGTGTGGCATCATCTAAAGACCGTTGTAAGGAGACCCTCAGGGGCTGAAGGGTTTACATTTATCGACCTAGTGCAATTGCCTGGTGGCTGTCTGGCTGTTGAGTGTGATTAAAAATTTTAGCAGCAATAACAATCGAGACTGTCAAATGCAGGCGCACAAAGACTATTACACAAAACGCCCATTGGGCGTGGCACTTGTCTATTAGAGTGCTCTTCAAGTGGTCTCAAATACGAAGTGTCAACGACAGCAACAGCAACAGCAACACCAACAGCAAAAGCGACAGCTGTGCACTGCAATGCATGAAGTATTCAAGTACAAAGTACACTCAAACACTCAGCCGAGCTGTGGTTGCAACACTGCTCGACGCGGAGCAGTTGGGGCAACTGTGCACACATTCATTAAGTTAATAAAACTCCGCAAGTGCAACTGCTGCAGTTTGGGACACTGCCTACGCAGCAGCAGCAACAGCAGCAGCAGCTTATGGTGATTGCATAACACTTGCCTGTGGCATGTGTGACAACGAACGGGAACGGACAACGCCATAACAAGCGACTTTGTTTCCATTAGTTAATTATACCTGTGAAACAGTGTAAAACTCAACATGTTGTCTGCCCAACCAATCCTTCCTTTCTCTCTCTATCTCTCTCTGTCAGCCATTTGGTTGATTTGCCTTGTGTGGCACACTCAAGGCGACAATTAAGTTGGCGCCACTGCAACAATTGACGCTTATGTCCAACTTGATGGCACTGCACCACCCAGTTGACAGCTTAAGCTTATTTGTACATCATTTGAATTGTAATTGGTTTATGTTTTGTGTCTTTCTCTCTTTTGCAGATTCCACGCGAAAGCTGCAGGATGTTCTCCAGGATTTTTGTGCGGCCAGTGCGTCCAGTGAGACGGCCACATCCAAATGCATACCAGATGGGGTAAGTGGCAAGCTGAACTTCATTTATCTTTTATGAAATATGCTCTTGCATATTGTATGTGGCAGGGGCAACTTTAATTTTTCAATTTATTGAAATACAGACCGAAGCACTCTGTGTCCCCTATCCTCTGTCCTCTGTCCTCTGTCGCCTGTCCCCTGTTTCAAATACCGTAATCTGTGACCCGTTTCAGGGCAATGGCAGACAACAAGTCAAGGTTGCCACTGCAATTGCAACGATTAGGGCTTAGAAATGCTCATCCGCTTACACATAGATACATCTACAACTAATCCTCAGACATCCAAATGCCTCCTCCTGCCTAAGCTCACCGTTTTGCCTGTGCATTTAAGGAGAGCCCCTGGCTCAAACGTAAGCTGATGAAAGGCAAGTTACAGCAAGCCAACTTATGTCACACGTACACACTTACACACACAGACACACACACACATATATACACACAACTGACAAGGATGCGAGCCCGTTTCAGCCAGCTGCTCCTGTCTATGTCTATGGCAGCTTAGACTGCTTTGTTGCGTTGGATTTTCGTGTTTTGTGTGGCAGAAGGAGTGAAAGATTGAAAGTAAATCTTCTTATATACATACAATAAATCACAGACATTTTTCAAGTTTACGCCTGAATGCCAAATTGAAATTGAGCAGCAAACTGACTGCAGACTCCATGAATTGATAACTCTCCGCCCGCATCCACACAAAATGCCAACTAACTAAGGTACAGACACGTATGGACAGACTGATAATGAATTAAATTGAAAACCAGATTGAACAGCTTCTCTTTGGCACTCCAAAGGAAACTCCGAAACTCCTGCTTGACTCGAGTTTTACAAATTGCTGAACAACACCTTGAGAGAGATGTGAGGCAGCTATAAGAAACATAACTGCACACGAAAATGTTTACATTTGTCAAGAAAATAGCTTTCTGTACACAACAAATCGTTCATACAACAGCCATTTGATTTATTGGCGACAAGTTCAGATGGGCACAGATAGGAATATGCGCAGTTTATGCAATTGACAACATTTTCTTCGGTGTAATACACATTTCACGACGAAATAATAATATTTCCAGAGTGATTTAGAGCAAGAGAAACAAAAACAGAGACTGTACTCGACTGAGCCCGACTACCATATACCCTGAACCCAGCAGACAAATATACTATAATTTTATTAATAATAATAGCTTATCAATATGAGAATAGCTCTTAGACTATAACTTATGTGTTTCATAATCCAATCTTGATGAAATTTGATCGGGTTATATGATATATATTAAATAAAAGCATATGCCTTTAAAATTGTCTCAATCGACAATCAATTTATATATTAATAATCTCAAAACGGAAACAGTTGTCGATACGAGAACTAATATTCGAAATTTAAAGCATATATTCTTACAGTCACATAAATCGTCTATTGATTCGGATCAAAAACATATATGCTTTATACAATCGAAGCTGCTTCCTTCTGTCAATTACATACTTATGTACAAAACCCTTATACCTCTTTTATTCATATTTAATGGGTATAAAAAGAGAAAAACAAAGAATTTCTTGGCAAACGTAATCTGGGCTAAAACCAGAGCCAACCTTTTGCCAACAAGAGAGATGTCAGAGCACCGGCAAAACCAAATGAATAACCGAGATATTCTCTGAAGGGGAAACATGTGGCAACAAGTAGACACATTTGATGAGGCACATCCCCGTCGCAGTAAGTGTGTCGCCGATTTCTGGAATCTTGATTTCCGTTTAAGCTTAGCACACGACTTATGCTTAAGGACTGCTCAGACATCCGAATAATGATTTGATATGTATTTGCCATTTCAAATGCTCAACGACAATTAATTAAGTTGCGTCCAAAAGATAATCGTTGCACAGTCAGCGTGTGTATAGCAATTTAATTGTGGCTTGTGGCGCATGTTGACAGTAATAGCAATTAATACGTAAAAAATGTAATCGATCAAGAAAACACAACACAATCCCACACATTTAATGGTATTATTGGAATTGCAATTTGTTGTTAAGTCTACTCAGCCATGCTCACTTAACCCGACAAAAAATGCAAATACGAATCCCGCTCGAGCTGTTTGAAGTGTGTCTGTGTTTGTATTATTTGTGTTATGCAATGGCAAAAGGTATAATTGAGTTTACTCAGCTCCTGTCGTAAGTACTGTGCACAATTATAACCAATTTCGGGGAAATCGAATACTTCTTCAATGATTGGCATATCAATTTACCAGCCAAGCTCATCTCCACAAACTCCAAAAAATTCACTGACAACCTTTTTTAAAACCATATTTTTCTTACTTTTTTAATTGCTGTTTGTTTTTTGTTTTCTTTTTTGTTTACCTGAAGCACTTACTACTTTCAACGCTTAAAGCAATTCCTGCAAATTATGAGCATTAAAGTAGGTTGATATTTTTATGTTTCTGTTGCTGTTTGTGGCACTGCCAGTGAAAAATACGAAAGTATTTTCTACATTTTATGGTCCATGTAGCCCAAGTCACTTATTTCCGGTTTATTGTGCTGTGGCAAACTATATAATAATCCTGATTGAAAACAAATGATTATTTGGTTTAGATGTAAGTGCTTTCGCATTTTATGGTATTGTGTCTTAAACTTGCCACCACCGAACATGCCACAAGTGCTCTAAACACAACTCTAGACTCTAGACTGTCTTGTACTTGAGCTTGTCTAATATACTTTGTAAATATGTATGTGTATGTTTGTATATATATTTATACATATATATATAAATGTATTTTTCTTATTAAAAGCTGCTTACTTTACGCTTGGTCGCTTCGCAAAGCGCTCGAGGTCCGATGTCAGCCCTTGCGTCTGCAACAACTTCACCTTCAACACTTCAATTAAGTTAATTAAAGCCAGCTGCTGGAAACTGTTGAAGTGACTTGTCTTCAGATTGGCCCTGCCATTGAATTATGTTTTCGACGTCTTCAATTTGGCTGACGAAATGCTGCAAATTCATTTAAGTATCGGCTATCATTGGTTGGCCCCCTCTTCGTTCAGAATTTGCAATGAACGCCAAACTACAAGTTGTAAAATGTTGGAAATTAATTTTAGCACAGCTTTGTTTATTCTTAATTTGGTTGCTTTATGAACTGAGTTAACTGAATTTATGCTTGAAGCAATTTGTGCCAGATTAAACTGAACAAGCTCAGAATACTGAATACTGCACTGTAGTAGTATTAAACACTTGTGCTGGTAATCTGTACTTGACCCAACAATTCCAAAAGCTGTGCAGCTGTGGAGCTGTGGAGCAATTTGCTCCCTCATCTTTTGTTCCTTATGCCGGATCGGACTCGCTTAGGTATTCCTCATCAACCGTATTATACACATGCCAGAGGCAAATGCAAATTTCTGTCATGCAGTTAATGTCAAAGCCAGAATGTCAGTTGCATAAACACACACACACACACACACACACACTACAACACCAACACCAACTGCGACTAAATGTGGTTTGCATGTGAGTGATTTTGCAATTTATTTAGCTTCTGGAGAAATTCGTAAATTTGCTGCAGAGTTAAAATGTGGTTCACGCTTCGCTTGCTCGCTGACTTGTGTCGGCGACTCGACCCGGCGTATACATAATTTACACATTGACTTTCGCCCCGAAATGTATGCAATACATGAATGAATGCAAAACGCAGATTACGCCCCTGAGTGAGAATTTGACGATGTATCCAGCGGGCGGACAAAGCATAATAAACCGACTAAATGGGCTAAAAGCGCGACATGCTCGTGTGATTATCAGCGCTCAGGCGTGAGTGTATTTGACTGTAATGGATATCACGCATACGCACTGTGCGCACCCAATATGCTTGAATATTTATTCATTAAACCACAAACACACACACACACGCACATAAGAGCAACGGCTGTCAAAATACCAAACTATGACAGATCGAGAGCAGCTCCATGTGTGTTGGAGTCTCTCTTGCTGGTTTCGCACGCGTATCTCGTTGCTTGCTAAATAAATTTTGTTAACGCGATTCGCGTGCCATTACTATAGTGCCATTACTATAACTGCTATGTGTGTGAGTGTGTGTGTGTGAGTGTGTTATACATTATGCTTTTACTCTTGCTGCTGCTGCTGCTTCTGCTGCTGCTGCTTCTGTTGCTGCGACATAAGCGTATTCTTGCCGTTTCCCAAGGTATAAATTTCCATTTGGCTGTATTCAGTTTCATGATGATGGCCCATTCCCAGCACCAATGTGGCTGGCTGGCCTAGGCCGAGCGCGTAGACAACTGAGCTGACTCCACTCTCCAACCTCGGCATAATCTTAATGTTGTTGGGCTGTCATATCTTTTGTTTTATGCTCGAAATTTAAAACGCCACAGCAACAGCAGCAGCAACAGCAGCAGCAGCAACAGCAGCAGATTGTGAAACGCATTATAATGATGATAATAATAAATATAATGTGACGTTTCTCTAAATCGTTTCGCTTTATACACTATGAGCAACACCAGGCAGCGCTTTAGCTGGCGAACCATTCCAAATTGTTTAAGTTAATAATAAATGATGGCAAGAAATGAAGGCATAAAGCAATCAGCAAATTGGATTCTGCATTTCTGAAGAATTTCAAGCTGATTATATTCAGATCCAAAGAGTATCCAGTTGTCGTGGCGTTCTTTTAATGGTTCCTTTTTTTATTTTGTTAATAAATGCTGCTCATTTTCGCTTGACTCGCTCATTTTCCAATTAATGGTTGCTGCCAGCTCTGTTGCACAACCAAACCCGCTCATGATGAAGTGGTAACCGTAACCGTAACCATAACTGGTAACTGGAAACTGGTAACGGGCAACCGTTAGAGATTTAAAACATAATTTGTGTTTACAAAATGAGGCAGTCGGATGCTTTATCTGTTACCGAGGGCGTCTTACTGATGCGGACCTTTGTTGTCCATCACGGTTCCCATATCAATATGTCTATCAATGTCATTTCATCATTCTGTATTGACAGTGCAAAGCTACACGTGCTGCTTTCGGCATCGACCTAATACGACAAGGGTTTCAGTCGCCTCCCCCCTGCACACTACCCGTCACCCATGAGGGAGGCCCGTTGTTGCCCGTTGTTGGCCTGTTTGCCACATACATAAAAAATACAACTTTTGCAGATCCTCGGAGGGCATTTACAGTCACGTACATGACGATGCGCCTCAAATCACTGAGACTAACAATTTTCAGGATGTCTGTGTGTGGGTGTGTGTGTGTGTAAATAAGATTTAATATATATGTACGCCCATGTAATTATAGATTCTAGAAGCATACTCTGCAGAGCTCCACTTAAAGGCCAAATTTATAATTTAAAGTTCAACTATTAATTGTATTTTGCAGGACATTGATTTCGATGGCTTTCGTAGGTTTTTGGACGCATTCCTCGACTGTGAAGCGCCGCTGGATCTGGCCAAGCATCTGTTTGTGTCCTTCCTCAAGCCGAACGTCACCCAGGCCCAGTTGCATGGCAAGGCGCTCAGTCAAATGGCGGCCATTAGCAGCACGGCCGCCTGTGCGCCCGTCACGTCTCACACGAAGGGTAAGCCGCCTTCGATACCATTGCCCTATCCATATCCATTACCCATAGCCAGTACATGGATAGACATATATATATATATAGATATATGTATGTGGATATGGATAGGGACATGGCACATGACACATGCCACATGCCAGACGAGAGTCAGTTTAATAATTGCAACACATTTCTCACTCGTGGTTCGTTGCTCGCTGCTTGTTGCTTGCTGCTCGTTGCTGGTTGCTCGTTGGGTCTGTTGTAATTAGGCTCCATACCGAACCTGAACAGCATTGCCGAACTGATGCCGCAATGCAGCATTGGCGGCGATGCCCAGGCCCAAGCACGCACCAGTTTCGTCGACAAAATCCATGGTATTACAGATAAGTTACAGCACTCACTTGGCGGCCATTTGACGCACGATCCCAGCAAGACCGGTAAGTGTGTATGTCTCTTTCCCACACTCTCTCACTCCCTCTCTCTCTCTCTCTCTCTCTCTCTGTTTTTCTTATTGTGAAAACACATTCCACAAATCAAATTTCTCGCAATTTCGCCTAGCCTTTAAGCAAGAAGGAATAGCTTTCTTAGACGCAGACATTAAGATTAATTACACTTGTGGATCGTAGTTCATCTGCTCAGATATATATTGTGGTCAACTTTCAATAGTTTCTATATCCAATTAATGTTGTAAGTGTCCGTTTTATATATACAGTTTTACAGTTTTTGACGTAATGAATTCATAAACTTTTTTTTTAATTCAAAGATATTTTTTATAAGAGAAGTTGCTAATAAAATAAGTGCCAGAAAAGAAACCAAGCTTATATTTTTTGAGCTGGCGAAAATGAATAGTTTTAACTTGAAAGTTAAAAATGTTGAGTTGAGCATCTTTAGCAAAATGTTTGCGATATATATATATATATATAAGTTTAGATATAGGTAGCACTGATTTGTAATACAATGATTTGTTTGCGATATATATATATATATATAAGTTTTGATATGGGTAGCATTTGTAGCAAAATGTTTGCGATATATATATATATATATAAGTTTTGATATGGGTAGCATTGATTTGTAATACAATGATTTGAAAATCGTTGAAATTGCGTTGAAAACGTTTTGTGGAATGTTATGTTTGTAATTGTGTCTGTGTCTGTGTATATGTATATGTCTATGGTTAATTGTGAGTTGTTTCTTTCGCTTTATTGCGTGTACACATTGCAGGCAGTGTACATCCCATGCTAACCGTTACGCCCAGCCCGTTGGCCAGCGGTCCGAGCATGTTCCCGAGCATCAGCGCCGCACGCCGTTCGGTGGACTCGAGCCCCTCGCACTCGCAGACCAATCCGTCGCAAATGTCGCGCAATTCGTCGAAGAAGAGCAACAATTCCGTTAATTGCAAAATTGATAGTGAGTATTAATTAGATTGTAACTCAATTCGAGTCGCGTCACGTCGATGTGTAGCGCGATATGAGAAAATTACAATGTACTCTGTCGGCTGGGCGAGTTTGCAGTTCGAGTTTGAGTTTGAGTTAGACTTTCAATTAGGCACACATTGTGTGTGCCAACTCAACTGCAATTAGCCAACTTGCCACACAATGTGGGCGTTACAGCTGCTGAATAGAGCCCTATATATACGACTATATATCTGTATATATATGTATGTATGTATGTAGTTGTGTGCAACACTTGTGAGCGGCATCTTGAGTATTTCAATTTGTGCTGCAAGCATTTGCAACTGTCAGCGTTGCGGCTGTCACTCTTGCAACTGATTACTTTGTCGACAGACAAACAGACAAGACCGACAGTCAGACCGACAGCCAATTCAGATGCTAAATTGCATGGTATTTGCCACACAGCACACGCACAATAAATGAGAAGCTCAGTGCAATCCCAATGCGTAGAGTGGGGCCAACTGCATTGAGCCAGCGACTTGCTGCATTGTCCAATTACCAACTGCCTGTCCGTCTTTCTGTCTGCTTTTGCTTTTGTTTTTGTTTTACTTAAGCCAAAACAACTCTCGACGCATTCACTAATTAGCTGCAGGAGCTCAACTGGCGGCAAAACACAAAGGCTTCTGCACTAATTCGCGAGCATGCAAAACTTCATAAATTATGCAACAAGCGGCAAATGCCGAAAGCTGAAAAGTGAAAAGTGAAAAGTGCAAAGGCAGCAAACAAAAAGAAACAACAAAAAAAACACGCATGTCCAGCCATGTTCAGTAATGGCAAATGGCAAAAGGCAAAAGGTAAAAGGTAGCGGAAGCGGAAGTGCTTGCATAGTAAATAAATAAACAGCTCAGTTCGAATTGCTCACTCAGCCAGGCAGTCATGACTCACATGCATACCCTGTAATAAGTCAGTAATGGAGTCAGCATAAAAGCACAAAACTGTTGCAGGGAATATTCAAGGTGTGCGCTGTGCGAAACGAAACGAAAGCAATGTCAGAGTTCATGTCGTAAATCAACGCCCAATTAGAACATTTTTGCATTTTCCCAAAGTGAGCCGCGCCAATGCGTAAAATTAGCACTCACACACACAAACGCACACAAATACAGTTATTTAGGCCTGTAAGTAAGCTGCTGCTGCTGCTGCCGCTGCTGCTGCTGTACTCTCTTCTTCTTACTTTTTTTGCCATTCCCCATTCGCCATTTGCTTACATTAATTTCGCTTCGTTTGAAATGTGCACGAATGATTAATGATCGTAAATTTCATTTTCTTCTTCTTCTTCTATTTTTTTTTTGTGTATTTTTTTTTTCGTTTCCATTTTTTGTTTCTTTTGTTTCGCGTTGCTTTTTGGTTGTTGTGGGAGCCTGTCGTTTCACGCATTTTAGCAGCAATTGTGGGTCACTTTTTTCTCGCACTCGTCCTTTGTGCGGCTCAGAAAAATTGCGTTGGGGAAAAAGGCATATAACAAGTAATGAGAAAACAGTGCCTGCCTTGCGTCTGTCTCTCACTCTCTCTCTCTCTCTCTCTCTCTCTCTCTCTCTGTGTGTGTGTGTGTGTGTGTGTGTGAGTGCCTCTGTGTGTGTGAGACTGTAAGCGCTAATTGGATTAGTTTTGCTTTGGTTTCCGTTTTGCAGCTGGATATGGGAATGGATATTGTTTCCCTGCGTGCTCAGCAAATTTTATTTATTGGCCTCAGTGCGTTGACATTGATCAGCACAGAAAATACTTTTGTATGCATATCTATATATATATATATATACACTTTATGCATTCATCAAGCTGAAATTGTTTGTGCTGACCAAAGACAAAATCGACTTGAGTGCGTATCTCATTTAGTTATTGATATCCAAATGTAAATATTAACCAATATTTTAGCCATGTTAATTTATTGGCAACTAGTCGCTGTATTAATAGAAATGTAAACATAATTAGCTGAAATGCCCCTCCAAAACAGCCAAACACAATACACAAAGTTAAATGTGAGCCAACATGCAAAGAAATGCCAAATGCTAAAGGCAATTCCAATTAACTTGGCTCAAATGTGTTTGCTTAACTTATGCGAATTTGACGAAAGTTTCATAAACACCAGCAGCAGCAGCAGCAGCAGTAGTAGCAGCTGCTGCCGGCCTGTCAAATTGGTTAAATATTTAAAGCAATTACAAAATAAATGGAGAAAAGAATGTCCCATGACTGCGATATGTCTGCGATACAAAAGCTGTGAAGCCTCTGAATGCGAAACGATTTCCTTGGCTTTGTGCCGCAAAAATCGATATTAATGCCATTAGCAACATCCTATGAGCACTCAAAAATAAAAGAATACTAAACAAATCCGCCGGAATCAAGCGAAAGCAGCCTGTCTATAGATATATATATACGAATTTAATTATGAGGAGTAAAGTTGGGTTCATAGCTTTGCGTTAATAAAACTTTCGAATGGGCCAAAGATTGCCAAATAAAAAATTAACTTTTCAATTTTCCAAGTTTATTATGAGCAAAATGGCAAAGATAAAAAGGAAGCGGTTGATTCAAATTGCGACAATCAAGGAATGAAAATAAACAAACTCTTTATTAAACATAATCAGTGTCAAAGTGTGAAAAGCAAACAACGACCAACTTCAAGCAGGCAGCCGTCAATTGCAGCTGCAACGATATCCTGCAACAAAGGCAAACACAAACAATAATAAATCTGCCACTCAGTCAATGACAAGTGCAGCTGAAGCACAGAAATACCACAGGGGAGACTGTATCGAAAGCACATCAGAACTTGAAAAAACCCTTTTTTTTTGTGCAATTGAAACAATTAATGAATGCATTTTAATCGTCTGATTTTTGCTAACTTGCAGCTGACATTAAGCTGCTGGCACGTAAGCTCTCCCACTTTGATCCTTTGACCCTGAAGGTGCCGCTGAAGGATGTCGTCTGCTATTTATCACTGCTTGAGGCCGGACGGCCAGAGGACAAGCTCGAATGTAAGTGAAAAGGAACCGCTGTTGGACCAAGTCATGCACCCGACCTTAACTCATTAATTCTTTCACGCTCTATCTCTCTTACACACACACACACTCTCTCTCTCTCTCTCTCTCTGTCTCTCCTTCTCTCTGTCATTCAGTCATGTTCCGGCTATACGATACGGATAGTAATGGCGTACTGGACACTGCTGAAATGGATGCCATTGTTAATCAGATGATGGCCGTTGCCGAATATCTTGGCTGGGATGTCAGTGAGCTGCGTCCAGTAAGTATTTAATTGCAAAAGACTCCCATGCACACATGAAACAAGCACAATTTAAGCAGTTTACATTTAAAAGTCATTACTGCAGTCAGCAACAGACAATTCAGCTTATTAAAGCACACACACACACACACACACACGAAATGGCCAACACAATCTAGCAATCATCAATCGCTCTGATTGCTCCTCAATCCGCAGAGTTTCAGTCCGATGGACTAAAACTTTTTCAATTACTTACGAGCATTCGTAACGGAGGCTACCGAAAAGCACTCGAAATTAATTTCATTGTATTGTTTTGCGATACAAGTTCTTAGACCGCATTCATTTCGTATAGCAAAACCAGCCAACTTAAGAAACTTCATAGTTTGCACAACAAACCATGGCAACAACAAGTGGACTCTACTCGGAATCGATTGTCCGACTCAAATATACTCGTACCTCGACTCTGTCATAACTGTGACCGGCTTAGACCTGTATCTATGCCATTCATATTTGATGAGTTCTATACAAGCTTTACTTCAATAGATATTCATTATTTAAGTTCACTTTGAGTGAGGGTGAGTATGAAAATTCTTAAAGTTGTCGAACAACCACAAACATGGGGCAATGGGGCAACGACAAATATGTTGTCAACCACATGGTGACTACAAAAATAAACTCAAAGCGTCAGAAAACTCAATTAACCAAATGCCGTCGGTCTGTGTCGAAACTATGACAACGACGTTTCCAGCTATGTTAATGTGTTGGCTCAATGGGATTGGTTGGGGTGTGGTGTTGGTTGGAGCACATTCATTTCAATAGCCAGGATGGGCTTATGACACAGCTAGAAAGCGAACGAAAGCCACATCATTTAAATTCTAAGCGTATACAAAAATTTTGTAATCAAAAATTCTTGCGCCCTTTTTGTGTTGCGAAAAGGAATCAAGTATAAATGCTCTAATCGAGAGTGCTCGATTATTAGTTACCCTGTACATATTTTCAAAGCAATTTAGATTGGTGCATTGAGGAATATTAAGGTCAAGCTCCGAAGTAATAGAAAATGAATAAGGATTCTCAATTCCAACAAGGAGATGCTTTATATTTTCATGACGATTTAGGTATCTGTAGGATAGACAGATGTTGTTCAAGAATATATATATACATTATTATTGAGTCCGAGCTGATTTCTTCTGCTTGTTACATATGACTGCATAATTTTGACCATCCATTCATAATTGGTAGAGGATATGAAAATTGAGTCAAACACAGTTGAAACAGAAATTATCAAAGCAAATAATGAATTGCACAATTTTGAAATTCATTTCCGCTAAAAACACAAAGGTCTACAAAGCAAAAGGGATGCCGTATAAATTCTGGGAATTTGTAAATATGATGATGTTCTATTACAGAACCTTTTGTATAATAACAACTTAAAGTTTATCAAAGTTCACCACTCGACGAACGCAACAGGACATGAAATTGATTGGAGCAGGAAATTGTATATTTCTCAGCGTAGACAGATGATTCTCGGAAAAGAATATGCCATTGATATCAGAATGCAGCCAAGCAAAACTAGATTAGACGAATATCCAGTGGAACTGCGGAAATTTCAAAGGGAATTTTCAACCGAAAATATAATGATGCAATACAATTGAAAAAATGGAATTTCAAGTATATTATCAATGGAAGGCATACGCCGCATTGCACAATTATTGGATGAAGTGAGGTGCAACAGCACTTAAGCTGACTACTACAAACTCAATGCACTCTTTCACAAAAGCAAAATCAGTTGCATGGCATTTTAGCTTTGAATTTCATTATGCCAATATCTCATTGCACATTGGCAAGGGAACATTTGGTGGCTAACACAATTTTGAGCCGGCAATCCAATAAAAGTTACCTGTGAATTTTCCATACATCTGACTCCGGATGCAGCATCAACGTCAAAAAGCACTTGTGGCTAAAATTACCTTTATTTTGTGGCAACCGCCGAACGTCTATCAGGAAATCGCATAGACTGAACCAGCCACACGGCAGCATTTTGCTCAAGCACTCTATGCAATCTTTTCTTACAGATTCTGCAAGATATGATGGTTGAAATCGACTATGACGCCGATGGCACAGTGTCCTTAGATGAGTGGCAACGGGGTGGCATGACAACCATACCGCTCCTCGTTCTCCTAGGTGAGTGTTAGCCAAGTGGCTGTGAAGCTTTCAGTTTCTGGTCTTTCTATCTGCCTGCATTGGGTGCCTTAATAATCAAGTAATTCGCCAAATAAAAAAAGAAGAAAAAAGACAGATTTGAAGGAAAAGCAAGTGAAACGTGGCCTTTAAGTGCATCTGGGCTCTCTGCACTTACACACAAGTGGCCAGCTCTGTGTTTTATGCCAGATCCAATGAAATATCAAATCGATTACTCATCGTCCATTTACAGGCGTTGATAGCACCACTCTCAAGGAGGATGGCATCCATGTGTGGCGCTTGAAGCACTTCAGCAAACCGGCGTATTGCAATCTCTGCCTCAACATGCTAGTCGGCCTTGGCAAGAAAGGACTCTGCTGTGTCCGTAAGTACAGGATATAGATGTACGCATATAAATAAATTGCAATCATTTATTTTAAATTTGAATTATTGTTTATTGCTTTGATTGGATATTTGGCATATGTCATCTGTAGAAGCCATTATAAAAATGTAAAAATAATATTAAATAAATTATTTTTACAATTGGGTTGCATATTTGTTTGTTCTCATTTGTGATTAGTTTGCAAGTACACGGTGCACGAGCGATGCGTGCAACATGCGCCCGCCTCATGCATCACCACCTACGTGAAATCAAAGAAGCCCAAATGCGGCGCAGATCTGTTGCATCATTGGGTAGAAGGCAATTGCTACGGACGCTGCTCCAAGTGCCGCAAACGCATTAAGGCATACCACGGCATAACTGGACTGACCTGTCGCTGGTGTCATATGATGGTAAGCATATATATATATATATATATATATATCACATATATCTGTTGGCGATTCGCAATTATTTTAACGTCTGCAAGCATTGTGAGAGACAACAAATTCCGTTGAAATGTCGACTGACATGTGTTTTAAAATCTGTCGAGCTCAATAAAAATTGCACTTCACATATTGAAGCTGCTTGTGCAGAAGCTCAATATAAATAAAAAATAACATGAAATGCTGACATTGTCACTCTGACGACAAGTGTAACTGGCATTTTAATACTTCAGAGTATTTATTTAACAAGACAGTTGCCGACAAGATGAGTGGCAAAGTTCCTTGTTCCACTCGGCGACATTCCAATGTGCACAAGCCTTGGAATTATCCAATACGCAGAACTAAAAGAATTATTCAGATCAACTGAACATGTTGCAGATTTATCATACATGTTTTGGCCATGTCTAAATATTGTTGAGCTGATGTGATTGAAAGTAGTGCAGCTCAAGCAGGTTGTGTGCATAAATGCAAAACATAGTCTCCGTTCTCAGTTTTGGCTTCGTTATACACAACTTAAAGAAATTATGCTGCTGCATGCCACAACACCCCAAGCTACCAAAACCATCATTCCAAACTCTATCTCTGGTTGGAGCTTTGTTTCGTGCTGGAGGCAGTGCCAACTTTCAACTTTGTCTAACGACTTTGACAAGAGCAGTAGTCAAGGTAATGCCAAATTTGTTATCTCAACAGCAACAACACAAACAACAATGCCAACAAAATGTCTTTCGACTCAGATGCGGTAAACTGTATTTTATTATTATATTTTGCATGCAAAACGTTGCAAGAATATGCAACGAGCTCAATATTTTTAAATTTGGCAGCGCATATCTCTTCTATTTTTTGTACAAAATTTGCATTTATATTTTGGCAGCATTCAGATATTGATCAGAATTAAATACAAAAACTGTTTAGTTAAAAATAAATGTAAATTGAGCTTAAATATTTAATTGTTTACTTAATATTTAATGTATTCGTCTTAAGGAAACTCATAATTTACTTAGTTGCCACTCCCCGTCAATATTTTAACTTATATATCTCTGACTCTTAAAATATTTCGAATGGAAAAAATTCGCACTTAAATCGCATTTAAGCGTAAATTAACATTTTGGGAGAGGCGCTAACAAACTTTTAATCGGATTCATTAAAGCGAAATGAGCATTTTCGCAGGCGTGCAGAGTGTTCGTTAAATAAATACGTATACGCCTAGGCAGCCCAGGCAGTCCAGCCAGCCCTGGCCTGCCAGGCAGCTAACGCGGCCTTCGTAAGTGGTTTTTATTTTTTTCGGCCAAGAGTAAATTGGAGTGTAAATGGAATTAAAGTCCGACAAAATTTTATGAGCTCGATTTAATTTTTCGGTGGTTTCGCTCTTGCAGCTAATTTAATACAAAATCTCTCAGTATATATATGTATATATAGTTCTCTCTCTCTCTATCTCTCTCTCTCTCTCTCTCTCTCTCTCTCTCTCTCTCTGTTTCTATTAATGTCATCTCTGTTTTTCTTTAGCTGCATAATCGCTGCGCCTCATCGGTGAAGAAGGAGTGCTCGCTGGGTGAATATGCCGGGCTTATTGTGCCACCCACTGCAATCTGTCCAGCTGTCCTGGATCGCCAGCGTTCGGTAAACCAGACCTACAAAGTGAGTGGATCTGTTCACAAGTTTTGTTTAAAGCGCTTCGCCAAATACCCAAACAAAATTAATTGGCAATTGTACTAATCCATTCACTCTTGATACGCACGCTGCTTGCTGTACTTGTTTGCTTTGCTAACAACGCAATCAACCCATTCAACCCACTGTCCACACTAAAATTGTACCCCTTTTTGTGCTGCACACGCATCAATCAATCACTGTGAAACACACAAATACCTTGAATAGAAATCACAAATGCATCATCATCACCAGGCAACACATTTCCAAATCACGCTGCCGGATGAGCTGAGCTGTCCGCTGCTGGTGTTTATCAATCCGAAGAGTGGCGGGCGACAGGGCGATCGCATTCTGCGCAAATTCCAGTACATGCTCAATCCCAGACAGGTCTACGACTTGTCCAAAGGTGGACCCAAGGAAGGTGCGACATTAAATGCATATCGCCTGGCAATTCACTTAAATTCGGAGATTTTCTTCTTTTTTCTTTTCTTTTTTTTTTTGTTTAGGGCTTACGCTCTTTAAGGACTTGCCCAACTTCAAAGTAATATGCTGTGGTGGCGATGGCACAGTCGGCTGGGTGCTCGAGGCCATGGGTAAGCAAAAAAAACAGCAGCAACAGCAGCAACAGCAACAGCCACCTATATGACTAAATTATAATACACACAAACAACCACAGATTCCATCGAGCTGGCCACACAGCCTGCTATTGGGGTGATACCCCTAGGAACTGGCAATGACTTGGCCCGCTGTTTGCGCTGGGGCGGTGGCTATGAGGGTGAAAATATACCCAAATTAATGGAGAAGATAAGGCGTGCCTCGACCGTAATGCTGGATCGATGGAGCATCGAGGTGACCAACAGTCTGCCAACCGTCGAGGAGCTGCGGCCAAAGGTGAGCGATCACACCTCTCGGGATTGTCCATTAAAATACACTCAAATCTGTGTGTCGATAAACTTTCGTGTTGTTAATATAAAGCGACACAAGGAAATCTATACAGTTGAGTCTCTGCCAGCAGTTGTGCAACCAAACTTGGCACAAACTAGGTGAAAAATCCAATTTTCGTATAGAGTTTTGCAGTTTGTAGTTTGAACATGTCTGTGGTCTCTGGACTAAAAAGCCCTCTGGGCATTTCAGGCAGTTGGGTGCAACCAAAAACCGATTACACAAACTAATTTAGTCTGTTGCCACATGTTTCGGGCTCGTAGCCAATTGCAAACTTCAATAGCCATAAACTAACAGTGTGTTACATCTGTGTGTGTGTGTGTTGTGTGTGTTTGACTATTTGCAGGTAACTTTGCACTCGAACATGCAAAAGGTGATTGAGTTGTCGCAGAGTGTTGTTGTCGACAAATCGGTGATCGAAAGATTCGAAGAAATTCATCGACAAAACCTGATGAGCAGCAGCTGCAGCACAGACAACATGTCGAATGTGAACCAGGCGCCAACAACTTCGGCATCCGCCACCTCGATTATGATGGCAACGGAATACACTCAGGATATGAGGACAACGACAATGACATCGACAATGGCCGGTGGAGATGGGGGACAACAGCAGGTGGGTGCTGACAGTGGCACACGCACCACAACCACCAAGAGCATTTCAATGTCAACGTTCGAAACGAGGCGCATGCAGAAAAAATTGGCATCCACAATGAGCAGCAGCAGCAGCAGCAGCAACACAATCAGCTCAAGTGGCAGTGCCGCAGGCAGCCTCAACACCAATCTGCCGCAACAACAATGCCAGCCACAGCCAGAGCATGAGCAGTTGGCAACTGCAGAGTTGCCATCCCTGACCCGAACCGATGGAACAGAAAAACAATCGCTGGAAACGCTGCTCGTGCAGCACAAACAACATCAGAAAAAGTTAGCAGAAGAAGTTGCTGCCGCTTCGGTGACGCCAACGGATGCTGCCGCAACCGAGAGTAATGCAAGCGATCATAATAATAGTCTGTGCAACGTCGTTAAACAGCAAATTACATTGTCATTGGATTTGTCGGACAAGTGTACGACCAGCAGCCAAAACAATAACAACAACAACAACAATCAAGAGCAACAGAACAGGCAACATCATGTGGCCAGCACACCACAAACCCCAATCACACCCATCACACCCATCACGCCCACAACGCCATCAGCAGCTGTGGCAGCGGCAACACCAGCAACACCCACAACCACAGAGACAGCAGTGCCAATCAGTGCAACGCAATGCGGCAGCAGCAGCAACATTCCACAGAAGGCAATCAAAGTGCAATCGGACAAGGACTGCATTGTGCCCTACAACATTATCAACAATTACTTCTCCGTTGGCGTGGTGAGTACTCAGCTCAAGCTAACTTTGTTTTCCTATTGTAAATCGCTTAACAACTTGGCAAAATATCTATTTAACTGGCTAATGCAATAATGTTGAGCAATAGCAAATCATGTTTAAGCTTGAATCTTGCTTATTCGTATTATTTTTCATTTAATTCTTATTTAGTACTTAGCATGATGACTTAGTTTTAATACAGAAGACTTTGATACTGCTGCAATTTTAAGTAAATTATTTGATTGGCCATTATCAATAAATGGTCCAGTATTTTTCACTGTTCAATTATTGTTCACAAAATAATAATAATTTTGCAGTAATCATTGCTCAATGTTTCAACAACAAATAAGTAATAAGAGCACTGAATCGCAGTGGGGTTTGTTCAAGTAAATTGATTTAGGATATGGTGGCAATCAATAATTTATATGGATATGCATATATATATAGTGAAGCACTTATGCAGAATTTCTGACATATAAAAGGAATAGTGGCAGATATTTCGTTCGGGAATTCGGCAAGCAGAAACCTGACTTGCACTTTGAAATGGACGCAAATGAAAAGTTGGAAAAGCGCAGCTCTTTGTAATGCAAATTTCACTCGAATTGCATTGAATAAATTCATAAAATGAAATAGACGAAAACCAACTCAAGCAAACAACTCTGCAATGAACAGCGATGAAATTTCATAGAACTACAATTTGATATTAAATATGAGATATGAGATATTCCGTGGTCGAAGCCAGTGGCACGTAGCCTTGGAAAAAGCATGCACCATTTTTAAACAAATTGCAAGCGCACTTTCCCAATTGCAAAAGTGTTGAACAAACAAATGCAAAGTGTCCAATTGCTGGACATACACAGACCCAAACAAACACATACAGATATTGTTGGTTGCCCAGCTGGGCAGACAATCAACCAAGGCTCATTTGCATCTTTGATGCAACGCTGAAATTCCAGCTCACACAGCCATCGTTAGCAGTAGTTGGATTCAAAGGACCCCAGTCCAATTTCAAATGTAACTAGATAGATTACTTAGCGAGTGAAAGCCAGCTATCATCAGCTTTAGGCACATTCATTTCAGTCGTCTAGTTGAGAACATTATCGGCATTCGATTTGCTGAGTTTGCGCTTTTTAAATTAATGCCTTAGACTGGTTTTTGGCTGTCACTGCAGCTCAGCTGGCGACTGCTGGTTAATTAGTAATTACGACTGCAAGCCACATGCCACATACAAAAGGGCCAAGGGAAATGTATTGCGCTCGAGGGACAACTTGACGTGAATGTGCCCCAAAACACGCCCAATATCCACATACGCACATAAACACGTAGGGTAATAAATACAAATTCAAAGGACGAATGCGAATTCAGTAAGTTTTGTAAGTTTTATTTTGGGTTTTTTGGCTTTTGAATAATTTAGCTAGATTCAGAGATAAAGATAGTAGCAGAAATCAAAGACACTTTTGCTACTACGTGCGACTAAGTAGCTAGCAAGGATTTAATGCGGCAATAAAGAAAGTATAAGTGGCAAATTTACAGGCAGCCAGGCAGCCAGGCAGCCACAAGATGTGAAAAGTAATACCAAATAAACGAGGCGAAAGGCAGAAACGCACAGAAACTGAAAAGAATGGCTACTACTAAAACGGATATGTTGTACAAATCAGCAAGGCGCAACTTGAATCGTGTCCTGCGTCTAATCAAAATAAAAACACGCCCACATGGGACACCAACTTGGCAGTGGCACAGTCAGGACCTGCGATAGTGTTTACTGATTCTATTTGCTTTAATATATATAAATGTATATACATACAAGTACATATATATATATATGTATATTATATATATATATTATATATATATCTGTGTGTGTACTTTGTAATGCTGCTCCATTTGTCAAGTGCGGCTAAAGTTGAAATCCTTTTTGTGCAAACGTTTTGCACTTTCTCCCTACCACCCTGCCCACCCTTAATTGAATGTCAGCCTAAACGCAGCACACACACTTACACACACACACAACTGCAAGATTAAGATCCACAAAATCCTTGCTAAAATAAAAATATTGCTCCAACAAGAAGGATCCACACAATTTGGTGTCTCTTGCCTTGTGTGTCTTTATCTCTGTATGTGTCTTACTATGTGTGTGTGTGTATGTGTGTGGGTGTGTAGCAGTGTGTGTCAGTGTGTGTGTGTGCGTGTGTGTGTCGGTTTAAGGGTGTTAGTTTATTTATGACCTGTTGTGCGTCTGTTTGAACTGTAGGCGTTTACAGACAAACTGTCAACGATTTTGTTCTTACAGATACACCTTTAACAACATATATATATATATATATATTTAAAAGGTAGATGCCAATGCCAAAAATATAAGAAAATTGAGTGGGTTCTTTATTTGAACTGTGTAGCTATTTATGATTATACATTTGGCATTGCTGTAGTTAATTGGCATTGGAATATCTGGTATCTTTTATCTGGTATCTTCTGTGCTTCAAACAGTTGCCAACAATTACAGGGTATATCGTTGTCTGTTGTGGAATTTACTAGTATCTGTTGTTGTTGTTGCTGAGATTTCACATGTCGGCTTCATTTCGCGCTGCCCCCTGGCTCCACTTCCTTGTGAAACCCATTTAGCACTCATGTTTATCGTGTGGATGTTGGCTCCGAGTAAAGCACACAAGGAGTCCCAAACGTGCTACGAGCAACTTGTCATATACGTTTCCACATATTCATATAAACATATATATATATATATATAAATATATATGATATGGAAGCTTTGCTCCTTGATTTAAAGGTTGTGGGTCGATGAGGCGGGTTGGGCGGGAAACAAGGTAATGCGCCATGGAAAAGTATTTCACACTGACGCTTTGGTTTAACGTCAACAATTGACGTTAAGCGCGAACTTGTGCGTTGCTGATGAGAGTGCCAACGAAATGCCACAGGATCAGGAGCAGGAGCAGCAGCAGGAGTGGCAATGGTGGAGTCACGGGAGTCATTGACTCAATGGGTAAACATGTAATTGTGTGCGTTGCGATTTTTGCCCAGGATTTGCCTTAACTCAATCTCAAATATTAGAAAATGACAAGCCTGGTCTTACGTATCTTTTATGGCATTCAATGTGCGTTTTATGCGCTCTCAGATAAAGCTGTCCCCCTCAATTTTATGACCTTAAGGTGCTGTTTTATATGGCCAAAACGTTTGGTTAACAAATTTCATTGCCCACATGCCAGGGACAGAGACAGAGACAGAGCAGGACTCGCAACTGGCAACTAGCTGGCAACGAGCTAATTTGACGTTCTGCATCGGCATCAGCAGAAGCATAAACTTAAAGTGAGATGACACTTGGGCACGAGCAAACTAATTAAAAAGTTTTGTCAACATTTTAGCTACCTGTCTCGCACTTTGCTAGATTATTCAATTTGCGCTCGAGCGATAATTAATCTTATTTACTTAGTAAAAGCAACAGCCACAAATTAGAGGACCGCAAAGAAAATGATGAAGTGGCTGCCAAACCAGACATATTCATCCCGCTCACACCTCCTCTCATCGCTAACAGTTTGCCATGGTTCCTTCTCAGTATCCTCACATGCATAATAAATGTGCCTATATACATATATATGTGCATCATGTCGTATGACGTATGACGCAAACTGGGCCAAACCTCCAACCAGGTTGGCAATCTCAGGTATTCCAGCCCCCCCATTGAATATGCTAAAATTCAAATACAGCGAACTGCGTGCTTTATATGCCGCGGATGCTTTAAAAAGCGCGTGATTCGCAAGGATTATGTGACAAACCTTGAACGCACATAACTGTATAATTAAATATATATATATATAGATATTCAAATGTGACTGCAAAATTTATTAATACACGTTTTGTTACGTGACTAAAAGTAGAATTCGCTTTAAGCCAAATCTGATTATTATCATTTGTATTTGCAGGATGCTGCAATTTGTGTCAAGTTTCATTTGGAGCGCGAGAAAAATCCGCACAAGTTCAACAGTCGCATGAAAAATAAGCTTTGGTATTTCGAATATGCAACTTCTGAGACATTTGCCGCATCCTGTAAAAATCTGCACGAGCACATCGAGATTGTGGTGAGTGTCCAATTGAGTTGGGCAATATATATGCAAAGAGACCTTTAAGCCTTCAAACCTTCGCTTTCGTTTGTCAGTGCGATGGCGTTGCCTTGGACCTGGCGAATGGGCCGCATTTACAGGGCGTGGCACTGCTCAATATACCCTACACACATGGCGGCTCCAATCTGTGGGGCGAACACTTGTCCCAAAAGCGCATTCGTAAAAGTGCCGGCCCTTTTGGCAAGAGTAAGAAACTCAAGTCCAGCGACAAGGAGTTCTCAGCCGCCAGCTTCACATCCGTAGACCTCTCAGTGGCCATTCAGGGTAAGTGACACGTGCAATATTTTATCTAACTTATTCTCTTATTGAGAATTATGATATTTCAAGATTTTGGCGATCGTCTGATCGAGGTTATTGGCTTGGAGAATTGCCTGCACATGGGTCAGGTGCGGACCGGCCTACGTGCCTCGGGTCGCCGTTTGGCGCAGTGCAGCGAGGTCATCATTAAAACCAAGAAAACATTTCCTATGCAAATCGATGGCGAGCCCTGGATGCAAATGCCCTGCACGGTAAGACTACAAGCGATCCCTGATGCCAGTCAGACTTTTATATTGATGACAACAACAAAAAATACACATTTCAGATAAAGGTAACACACAAGAATCAAGTTCCTATGCTGATGGCACCGCGCTCGGAAAAGGGACGGGGATTTTTTAATATGCTATGCAGCTGATTCAGGCGCAGCGCATCGAGCGACTTCATCGGCCGGCGACAGGCCGCTGAATCAGCCGATGAGCTGGAAGATGATTATCGTATTATGACCAGAAGCACCACCGTCCATAATTTACCTTAGCAAGCCAAATAGCTTTAAACTGTTTGCCCCCAACTGGCTTGCTTACAGTTCACCTAGTCAAAGATGTCTGCTTAAGCTTATATATATATATATATAAATATATATATTAGTTGAGTGAGTTAAGTGAGTTTTAGAGCTTTTCAAATAATTTTGAGGTTTATAATATATATATATATATAGAGATATATAATCAAATGACTTGTACAACAAGTACTCAAAATGTCATATGCATTCCAGATGGTTTAGTGAGCTGTATATATATATTTATATATATATATATATATATATGCCCAGCAGTTTTGTATATATACATAGAGTATAGCTTAAGATATGAATTAAAAATCTCAGAGTTTTGTAAATGCGCATCAGTGTTAACCATGTGAAAGCTTTAGATGTACTGTAGAGATTGGTACATGTATTTATTAGATATTGTAAGATCACACACATACACACACACACACACACTTAGCGAAAACTTGTCCAATAATGCAACTAAAATGAGACCAAACATTGTAGTGCGAATTTTAGAAAATAGTGCACAATTCTACACACAAATAAATAATTCTATATACATTTACATAGTATTTACAATTAAATCCGTCGTAATTAGTGCTGTGTGATATCAGATGAGCAGTTTTGTTTTTTTTTATTATTTTATTAAATGAAAACAAGTTAATATTTATATAGTTCCTACATAGTGAAACATATCATTGGCAACATTTAATTTTGATCCAAAATTTGTGTGTAAATTGACATTGAATTATCGTTTATAATAACAACATTATTTATAATAATTTGCTAACACGCAGCACTATGCAAAATATAAAAAATCAAGAATATATATATATATATAGATCTGTATATTCAAATGTATATTATATATGCTATTTATTTTATATATATTGTAAATAGAACAATGTAACTTGGTATACAAAATATCAATGAAATGGTGAAGCTTTAAAAGAATTTTGATATAAAAATACAAAAAAAAAATTAGATACAAAGAAAGAACAAATGCTATAGCTTTAACCCAAGTGAGGCATGTATATTCGATATAGTTCCATATAGGTATCCACGTAGGTATTTGCCACAGTAATACTCAAACCAATATAACAAATATCTACACCAATAAATTATTGTAAAAATTCAACTGCAAATAACAAGAATCGAATGAATATCTAAATCGAATCCTTTAGGGCTACATTTATTTGGATTCTCATCGGATTGGGTATAATACTAATAACAATATTTAACGTATGTTAACCAATTAAATATTACCTGAAACTATATTATACTTGTAATGATATACACATTATTATATATTAGCAGAAATCTATGTAACACATCCGATGATATAAAAAAGTGTGGAGTAAACTGATATTAAATCATTCCTTGTAAGCATTCATTTATGTCTGCTCTAAACGAATCTAACATTATAGTAAATTATATGAAATATGTATATAATATTAATCCAATAACTAATATATATACACAGAGTACCTACTTGTTTACTTTTAACTCATAAAGCATGGTTAGTCATTTTTTAAAAATACTCAGTTGTTGTATTTGTTGTTGCCGCATTTCAAATGCGGATATCGTTTGCTTTATGTTAGTGTAGATCAGATCAGCAACATTTACTGGATGGAACAAACACCACTAAACACTTAACAACTTTTTACATTCAACAAAAAATATATATTTAAAAATAAATAGCATCAGTTTAAATGTTTGAATGCCAACATTGATGTTCTGTAGATGTTCTGTATGTCAACACATACAAAGTATATATGTATCTACGATCTAAATGTATGTGTACAGTTGTTTTGCATATATAAATACATATTTACATACATATTATGAACGTACATTTTTTGTTCGATTACAAAACAAGCAAAATGAAAAAATATACACAAAACATATGAATCTATTTAATTTTTGCAAATAACATTTTCGATGCAACTCCTCTCGCCCACAAAACTGTATTCATTTCCAGCCGGTGATGATAACTTTCTTGTGTCGGGGCGTTGGGATGCAAATGCCACACAGTAGCCAGTTAACATTAATTATAAACGAGAAATGTACTATTAGGGACAAGTAAGCCAACTAAATAAATAATACATCAAATGTAATTACAATTTATACAATAAGATAATTAACTATGTACAGTGTAGAGCAGAAAAATATATAAGCGATAAACTAGAGACTAAAATGTATTTATTTACAGAAATTAAGTCAAAGTTAGAAACTTTATTTAGTGTAGACAGTATATAGCAAATATATAAATGATTATAACGAATTAGAACAAGACATGATAATTATTTTCTTGAAAATCATACTTACTAACAAAATTTAAAAAAACAAAAAAGAAAAACCAACTCATTATTGAATAGTAAATGCTTTTAGAAAACCAACTGCATTTTGCATGTACGAATACATTTAGATGTATATAACTAGGTCGAAATAATTACCTTTGTATGTATAACGTATGTATAATTATAACTTGGTTGTAGTTTAAGCTGGAGCCATTCGTATACTTGTGTGCCATTCGGTAGCCTTAAGTGCTATAAATTAAATATATTTGTTTGACGTCCTTATCCTAAAAACCACCTCCGCTTTATATGGTTTGCATACACACACACACACACATACCACTTATGTATAACACACACAAAACTAAACTTAATTTTCAATTGTGCCAAGGCTCTGCAAAATGTAATTGAATAGAAAAAAATATGAAACATAACCATTTATGTAAACCACGCCTGTAATCAGTGTTTAAAGCAACCAATAATAAATACTATCTATCACACATTTTATAAACCAATGCATTTAGATTTTGGAACAATCTAAACCATAGCTATTTGATAAATTCAATTTAACATATGGACCATATAAGCTAATGAAGGTGATCAAGATATTTTCACTCTTCCTACCAAATTGTGCTAAAATTTCAGAGGTGCGGCAAGGATGCAAAGCCATAAAGGGTCGAAACAGCACAGGATGCTCCATTTGGGTCAACATTTCGTAGAGATCGCTGCGCGATGCATCAGGCATAAATAAGCTCCAAGTAGCTTCCACATCCAAGAGGCTCCCATCTACAAAGTAGCTATCATTATCGATATACGAAAGGCATAAAAGGTAATTATACCCGATCTATGTGCTTGGAAGTAAAGCATTGGAACTTGATAAGACACGCTGTAGACGATATGATACTCTATATTTATGAGATCATTGCTCACTTTACACTTGATCTTCTGCGAATATCTGAGAAAGCTGTTGGGCTCTTGGTCGTCCTGAAGAAAATAAAAAGTATTTTAAATGGGAAAACAAGTTTGTTTGTAACTCACCTTTTCAACGAGCTCCCAGTTGTCGTTCAACTCGTGTGACTTGTCCAGAAACTGTTTGGCTTCCTTCAGAAACTCTGGCCAGGTCAGTGTTTTGTGTGTCTCTGCGTCGCTCATGTTGTCTTAAAAGAAATGAAAAATAATCGAAGCAATTTACAAACATGTATTGAAGAAACGGAACACACATAGATTAGATAAAGAAAAACACAAGTATAATTGTTTTGCATAGCAAGCACACACATAATAATGTCTCATATATTTTATACATAATCGACAAATCGAAACTTTTTACATTTTAAAGCTCATCAACTTGAGTACTTAAGATAACACATAATTAACTTTACTACAAAGCAGTCCAGGGAAACAGAATGCAGCGCTTAAAACTTATAACTAAATGCCTCTTTTAAGTGTTGCGTGGCTCCCCGTCCAATGCGGTCACCTGGATGTTTTCATTGCGTCGAACTTGCACCACGGTTACAGTGCCAGCGTTGTCATCAAACTTGCACGTAACCGTCACCTCGCTAAGCTGGAAAGTGAATATTTGTGAGCCGTATTTTGTGCGCAGATATACGGAACGTGGATCCGCCTCCAATATGTCGACAATGCATTGCTTCTGCACCTGCAGCTCCTGCAGCTGAGCCTCAGCGTGCTCATTGAATAAAACGCTCAACCGGTGACTGGCCACCACCCAGTTGGGTACACGCACTGCGCTGGGTAATGGTGGTGATGGTGCTGCCTGCATACCATTGCCACTTAATGCATCTACATTTATGTTACCAGCTGTATAGCCTGCAGCGCCATATAATTCCAGATCGGACTCTTCGCCATCGGGCTCCTGTCGCGAATCATAAAAGTCAACGCTGTTCTCATTTGGAACAATGGAAGTGCGATCTAATTGTGGATTGAAAGCAATCTTACAAAAATTATCTAAATTTAAAAATGTTCAACATGCCTGAGTCCATGCTTAAAACTGGCGCATCATAATATGGTATATACGGTTTAATATCAAGCACAGGCGTTCCATCTACCATATCAGTGCCATAGAAGCTTATAGTGGCGCCGTCAATCTTTTCGATTTCCACCAGTGATAGCCCAACCGGACAAGGTCGATGCGGTGAGCGTGTGGAGAACACTCCAATACGTTCGCCACCCAAACGTGGAGGTGCTACTTTTGCCTTTGGATGCGCATTGTTCCGATGGAAATGATAGATGAGCCACATGTGCGAGAAGTCGGCAAGACCCTCCAATGAGTGTTCCGGATTGGTAAAGATGCCATCATTCAGCTGTATGATGCTGCGGAGTCGACTACCAACGCTCGATTGGCGTGGCACGGCGCGCTTTTCTGGGAAGGCGCTGCGTATTATGCCAATGGGTTTGAAATGGGCCACATCATTGGAACCGTTGACGTTGATATCACTGCTGGTTGTCTATGGTTGATAGAACGTTAAAATTGTGTTCTATGTTTGGCTACTCACCTGAAACGCACCTGCAGCAGCAGCGTTTCCGGTTTGTCCTTGCCCTTGACGGTTTTGTTGGCGCAACCTTCGCAGCGAAAATCCTGCAGCAACCGGTTTATTGTTTCAATGTCCTTGCGCTGCACATGCTGCAAGTTGCGCACTTGCTGTCTGCACATGTAATCGAATTCAAGGTATTCATAAATAACTTTGAACTTGAACTTCAACAATATCAAGGATTATATTGTACCTCAAGTTGTTAATCTCGTTCCGAGCAATTGTTAATTGATTTTTCAAATCATCTTCATGCATGTTCGCAATACAACACCGTCGAACCGAATATATGCATATATATACTTAGTTAACACTAAACGTTCGACTTAATATTATTTGTATTTAGTTATTTTGTCGTATATTTACCTATTCGCTTTGGGCATGCCATTCACATTAGCGCAAATGTATTGCCAGCCATTTATTTACGATTGCCATTCACACAAAACAACGCGATAACAAGCCGACTATCGACTCGATAAAACGATATTTTTAGCCATCCCTCGTCAACAATGACTTTATAAATTTCGTGTTTGAGCAAATCAAAAAACCAAGCACACTTCAGCCAGTTGTAAATTTCATATTAAAGAAAGTATGTGAGTATTTCAAGAAAAACTTTAACAAATTATATACTGCAACGAGTATTGTTTTCGCCAGCTTAATCAACAAATAAACAACATGTCTCGTGGAAGTTCAGCCGGTTTCGATAGACACATTACAATTTTTTCGCCCGAGGGACGCCTATACCAAGTCGGTAAGTAATTGTTTAAATTATGCATTTTCTATTATATACTTTATAATATTTGTAATTAACTTCATGCATCCCTTAACGCACAGAATATGCGTTTAAGGCCATCACGCAGGAGAACATCACCTCTGTGGCTCTGAAGAGCGGCGACTGTGCCGTTGTAGCCACCCAGAAAAAGGTGACGGAGAAGAATATTGTGCCAGAGACTGTGACACACTTGTTCGGCATCACCAAGGAAATTGGTTGCGTTATGACCGGACGCATTGGTAATTTGAATTTATTAACTTGCCCAGGCAGCAGAGGGTTTTATCAAAATGAACTCGTTTATTTTCGCAGCGGACTCGCGCTCGCAGGTGCAAAAGGCACGCTACGAAGCCGCAAACTTTCGTTACAAGTACGGATACGAGATGCCTGTGGATGTGCTCTGCCGTCGCATTGCCGATATCAATCAGGTGTACACACAGAATGCCGAGATGCGTCCGTTGGGCTGCAGCATGGTGTTGATTTCGTACGATGACGAGCTCGGACCGTGCGTCTACAAAACCGATCCGGCCGGCTATTATTGCGGTTTCCGTGCCTGTTCGGTGGGTGCAAAGATGATTGAGGCGAACAGCTATTTGGAGAAGAAGTACAAGAACAATCTGTCCGAGGAGAAGGCCATCCAGTTGGCCATCACTTGTTTGTCGAGCGTGTTGGCCGTTGACTTTAAGCCCAATGGCATCGAAATTGGCGTTGTGAGCAAGTCGAATCCTCAGTTCCGCATTCTCGATGAGAAGGAGATCGAGGAACATTTAACCAAAATCGCTGAGAAGGATTAAGCGCTAAGCGCTGAGGCCCATTAATGTAATTTCAACTATTTTATACAGACCTTTAAATGGAATTGTGGAAAACATAAACCGAAAAAAACAACAATTTTCTATTCTATGTTTTATTATTTCCAATTCGAATAAGAACACATATAATCTGTTTCATTTTTCTTGCTTCTTGTGCACTTTACCGCCCCAGCGCATCACGTAGGCGTTAACATCAAACTTCCGCTTGCAGCCTTGATAGTTCATGAAGCGTATTTTGCCAAAGATGGCACGCTCCCTCCAGCCCTGATCGTGAAGACCACCAATGGACCACATGCAGCCCACATAGCCATTGGGATCGCGACCATCCAGGCTATACTTGTCGTTCAGCAGTATGCAATACTCCAAAGCCAGCTCCGGCGTCGCCGTCCACTCGAGTATCTTTTTGGCCCAATACATTCGCAGAAATCCATGCATTTTGCCCTCCTTCACCAGCTGCAGCTGAGCCGAATTCCAAAGATCATCGTATGTACGTGACTGCTCCAATTCCTCCAGCGAATAGCACGGATTGCGCTCATCCGTGCGATGCTCCTGCAGGGTCTGATAAGCCCAGTCATGCAGACCCTTCAAACTATCGTAGTGCTCGTTGTAGTAGCAAAAGTTATCTGCCAGTTCGCGGCGCACAATGGCCTCTTCGCAAAAGGCATCCGCTGATGCCTTATGCATTGAGGTGTATCGTTGCACCTCCAATGCACAGCGCTGTGCCGATATCTGGCCAAAGTGCAGCCAAGGCGAGAGTCCAGAAAGTGCATCGGCTGTGGGATCATTGCGTTTCTCATCGAAATAACGCAAGCGGCGCGTGCAGAACTCGTAGAGTTGGCGACTACCAGCTGTATAACCGGGCTTGGCCCAATCCACCACATCGACGCTCCGATCGCATGTCAGCAGCGCCTCTGCGGCCGCCCAGTCAACGGGCTTATCCTTTTGTCCATTGCCGTGTGGATGTTTGATGACAGGCGGAAACTCGGTCAGATATTCACTCAATTTTGAATTGATCTTGTTGCGGATGGTGCGCGCTGCATACTCCTGCTTCTCCGAGGTCACCCAGAGCGGCACAATGTTGTGTGCATCGACTTGGGTGAGAGGCACATTGCGCGGCAAAGCCTTGACCACGTCTGTCACCCACTGGCGAGGCAACCGCAGAGGCGCAAAGTCACAGACCACAGCGCCGATTTCCTCGGCAACCACAAAGGCCGGCAGTCGCTCCACCGCTGGACCCAGCAGCAGCTGAAAAGAGATGTTCAGATCACGACACTGTTGCTCCACCTCCTGCAGGCCGCCCAGCATAAACATGTAGTGCCTCAATGTGGCATTTAGAAACTTTGGCACCAGACAGAAGACCACACTCAGTGGCAGCTCCAGTTTGAGTGCCAAACGCTGTGCAAAGAGAAGCGCCCAATTGTCCTGAACGCGAGCATCTCGCGACATCCAATAGACAACGCCGCCTTTGCACTGCTCCTTCACATCAGCTGCATTGCTTAGGACGTGCACCCGTCTCTTCCTGAAGGCAAATTCATGGACATTGGATGCGGACGCAATGCGTTGCTCCTGCATGTGACTGATGAACTGCTCAAAGTTTTTGTAGCTTAGTTTGGACTTTTCTGTTGGAGATTGGACTTGAACTGTTTCCTCATCATCGCTGCTGCTTTCGTCTTTTATCAACTTTTTTTTGCCAGCGCCGGCTGCGCTCCTAGTTTTCGTGCGCTTCATTTGTAATCTGAATGAATTACTTATTGAAAAGTATATATTTATTATTTACTGCCAAATTCATACTTACAACTTTAATGCTGATCGAAAACCGCCAAACAAAACAAACTTATTTGCCAAAAATCGTCCAACTTGCATTGCGCATTATGAAATTCAATTCAATTGATCTGGTCACACCTTTTCGTTAAAGTTCAAAATACCGCCAACATTCGCGAATTTTGACTGTTGGTTAACAGCCACAAACTGGCGTCAACCACTAAGCAACATTTTGTTATATGGTTATTGCTGCTGCCACAAATAAGCTAAAGTCGATTTGCCATTGCGCAGGCTCGTTATCTTAGTTGTGTTGTGACGTCAAATGATTGACAATATCATTGAGTGTTTGTATGAAATATTCACAGAGCGACGCAAAACCATTTTGCTGGCAGATTCCTAACAGCTCTGCTAAAACTCGAAAGATGTTAAAATTAAAAATCAAACATGAAACTATTTTTGTATTTGTTTTAAGATTTATATATTTACTCAACTGCATACAGGTTTTTAAATAACTCTCTTGATATACAGATATATTCTTCTCCACACATACATATAAATTGTACCATTTAGCAAGTGTTTCAGTTACCAGAAACTAACGCATAATTCTTTCTGTCTTTGGAAATACGTTTTGCATTATTACTCTCGATTCTCGGATTTGTTTGGTGATTTTGTTAATAAAGTTTTTAAACGTGTATATATACAGCTAGGGAATTTTGTAGTCAGGTTATTAAAATATATATAAAATATTGAATTCGCTTTTAAGACTTGCAATTATACTTATTTAAAAAATAAATCTAATTAATTTACACTACAATTGTTTCGACTCGTAAGCGCAAAAAGTGTGAACAAATAAATTACAAAACAATAAACAGAATTATCACAAACAATAACAGCACAGATAGTATGAGGATGGCAGCCCACTGACGCTTATCTGCAATTTTTATTGAAAAGTTGACAATTATCATTAATTGTTGTAAGTTGTTGCATAATGCTTACCATTATTCATGTGTAGAACTTTGGCAACTTTCTTCATTGTTGTATCCAGCTTGGATTCGGTTGTGTCGAACTCATTTCCAAAATCATCCAACATGACCGCCTGCTCATCCAATTCGACGCCAATTTGGCGCGAAACAGTCTTAAGGGTGCCAATGGAATCACTTATCATGTCCAGCTGCTCATCCTGACCCTGAATCATGCGCTGTTGCACAGACACCGTCTCGCCCACATATCGATGACCAGGACTATCCAAACTACTGCCATTGCCCCCATAATGGCTGGGACTATCTATATCCAGAGCATTCTCCAGCTTGGAATACTTTGTGCCACTGTGCCGCGTTGCGGCTGCGGCTGCTGCTGCTGCGGACATCGTGCCTGCTATGGTATTGGCGACTGACTGTGAATTGGGGCAATCAACCAGATAGGTGCGATCGTTGTTTGAATGATATTCGTTGCTTTGGTTGTGATTGTGGTTAGGATTGTGACTGTGGTGGTTCAGGCTGTGATTCCTTTCGTTCTCGAGCAGTGGCTGATGTGCGGTTATGTCTCTGTCCCTGTTCCGGTTCAGGCTCATCTTATCCTTCATCTGTTTGACCTCATCGCGAGTGTTGTCAATGAAATGACGCCGGCTGGACAGTTCACGATTATCAATGCGAAACTTGGTTGGATTCTTTTCAACAATGCGTGCTCTAAACAGATAAAAACAAGTTAAGGAAAAACTGTAGTGGAAAGTAAGAAATCAAATTGATTTTTCGCAAGCGCAACAACTGCAACAGTTTAGTGTATGTGTGTAAAAAGGATATTGATAGTGTCCTCCAGATCCTCGAGGTCCCATTCAATGCTGCGCAACGAATTACGCAGCTCCGTTGTTGTCCATTCAACCTCGGCGCCACCGTCTTCGCCGAACTCACGCCAACGCAGATAAAGTCCGCGGGTTTTGTTCAGCGCTTTGAAGACCTCACTGCAAAGATAAGTACAAATGGAGGGGAGTGGAGAGTGTAAGGGGTTAACGGGGTAACGGGGTAGCAAGAGAATTGCATCAGAATGTGGCACATATTTAAGCGCAATAAAGTGCATACTCCTTGACAACAAAAAACGGATCCTCCAGAGACATGACCCACGCTCTGTCACGTATCTACTTCCGTCCAGATGCAATTTTTACACTTTTTCCCAACGGCAACTATGAGCACACTTGACTTTTATATTCATAGATTTTTTATTTCTGCTCTTTACAGCTCAGCTCCACGGCTCTTGTTGTTACACACACAAGTTCACACACACATTGAGTGGGTGGCTGTAAGCAACAACCCCACAAAACTTTTTTTTTGGGGGGGTGCGTTAAGAATGCAAGTTAGAAAATATGTTTCGCTTTGCGTTGCTATTTATTTGTTTGTTTTTTACGGAAATGTGTTGAATTTCGGTTAGCATGAAATTCCCTATTAACTTGATCTAATCTACGTTTACAATTTGTTTTTAGTGGAAGTTTATTTTTGAAAAGCAAGTTTATTGATTATTGCACTTAGCCATCTTATCTGCTTGTTGTTGGGGGGGAATTCGATATAGACCGCGCTCGCGGTCAGGCTATTGCGATAGCCAGAACTAAACTGACGTTATTTTGTGCTCTCAATACCATCGCCATCGCCATCGCTGGAGCGTGAAAGGAGTCTAAAGGTGAAGGCATTTGTTTATGCCGCTCCAGCGTTTGCGCAGTGCCATAAAATCAACCGCAACCACTCAATCGAGCAACGCGTTAACAGCCCCACAAACAGCAACAACAGCACGCAAATACAACACATATTGTTGTAAATACAACTCTTTAAATTGCAAACAATTAACATTGTTTCCTTCTCCTTCTATATTCAAAATAAATTCAAATTTTAGCAATAATAAAGCTGTTAAGCCTCCGCTCTTCCTCTTCCTCTCACTCTCTCTATATGTCTATCATTCTCACTCTCTGCGTGCGAATATTTTGCTGAGAGCGCAGCGACTTGCTTGTTGTTTGTGTTTGATATTTACTACGACCTGCTGCTGCGTCAATTTCATCGTTTATCAATATCAACTCACCTGCTAAATGTTGCCACCTCATTTAACAAATTTCTATGCACAAACAGTCTGGCTTAGACGAAAGAATTGTAATTTTAAACAATATTAAAAATCTTTCAAGTTACAGCTGTCTCTAATGTGATGTTGTGGTCACTTTTACCTTTAATGAGCAATGTTAACGCACAATCGAGTAAGGCGTCGAAACAGCGCGCTAACGCAAAAAAGAGCAAAGTAACGTAGCAGTTAGAATGTGAAAACCTTTTTTTTTATGGTACTTCTTTGCTTATTAGCTCTGGTCACATAGTTGATTTCGTCCGTTGATCTGTTTTGTATAGCGAGCATTGCATTTGAAAACAGAGTTAAAAACAAGAGCAAAAATAAAACTAAATCAAAATGCTGCAAAATGATGCGGTTCGCACTCTGCAATATGACAGTGAAATACGAGTGGCCCAAACACCCAGTCCCACCGAACCCCGAGGTAAATAAACTTTACGAAAACAATGAAATTCAAACTATTTTTGGATGAATCACTTGTGAAGCACTTAATGTTTTTAGTGCCTGATAAATGTTTCAATGGTGTAGGTGTAAACGATGAATATATACAAACAGCACAGGTACACATTGTCCCTATCAGTATCTTATCAGTACCCATACGATGGTGCTTTTATGACCGTTTCACCAGCGCCATTTCAAGTGCCTTTGTTTAGCGTCGATTTGACCAAGTGATCGATATTAGCCAGTTGCTTATCAACACGAATAAGATTCAAAGCACTGCTCACTGGTATTTGTATTTGTTCTTCTTTGCAGTTTTTGACTCACAAATCAGCATAACTGCCCAGCCGCGACCAACATCAGGTGATTAACTGCATATTTCTCTTAAGCTTATAATCTATATTAACTGGAACAACAATTTCACAGAGGCTCCGCGCATTCCATTACCCATTTCTACGGTTGCAGGCAGTCGCACTTTTATACCCTTGGCTGGCTACGATTGTCTCGCGGACCTGCCCTCGGTGCACATTGAGCAAACCTTCGAGTTGAATGATTGTGCGTAGAAGAGAATTGAGATTGTTCCGCCAACTAATCGAATCCCATTCAATAGCACTCACAGCCGTCTCGTCGGAGAATCGCTATGTGGTTCGTTCGCCGCTCGGTGATGCCATCTTTGCTGCCTCCGAGAGCTCCACAGAGAAGAACCGCATGATTTGGGGCGCCGGTCGGCCATTCCAGATGCATCTACTGGACAAAACACATCAGGAGGCTTTGGTATTTCGCCGGAAACTGGCAATGGGTTCGCTTTGCTGTCAGCCCAAAAATCTGGAAATTTGGATACCGCCCGGCAATGTGCTGGGTCGTGTGGTGCAATCCCCCACATTTACACAACCCGAGTTTTACATTGAAGACGGCAACACCAATCAGCCCCTGTTCTGTGTCGAAGGTCCGGCGAATTCCGGATTGTGGTGCTTTTGCCTACCAAACGATTGCTACTTTAAGGTAGGTCTAAATTAGAAGTTTCTAACGGAGGTTCTATCCGAATAACTCTGTTTTGTCGAATGGTCTTTTATGGAAATGTGCTCTTTTACCTTACCTCCTTCAATTTTGCACGATCTTCTCAATCCCACAAAATCCGATGTTTATTTTTAATATAATTCTTTAATTTTCTTTTTAACGCTCAGATTCACTCGGGTGGTGATCTGCGCGCCTCCATAGACCACAAGTGGTTGGCCAGCAAATCGCAGTACACCACAAACATATACTTCAGCGACGCCAGGCTAACGTCCAAGGAGCGTGCCCTAATCCTGGGCACCGCATTTCTGCTGGTGAGTTTCTTTTGATTTTGGGCTCTGCATTATAATGTATATACTTACAAATCTTTTTCAGGAATATATGTACTTTCAAAGGCGCTCCTAAGTCTGGCCCAAGTGGAACAACAAACCAACTACAAAATTGATGTTTTCACATTGATTTTTGTTTATTTTTTGCGTCATTCTTTTTTTGTTGTTGTTTTTTTTTTGTGGTTGTTTTTGTAAAGTTTTCATGCTCAGTTTTTGATATATTTTACATTAATGTAATAAATCACTTCATTTCATGTTGTTTTTGTGGTTGTTTGACATACATATAAATATACATTGAAATATATATATATATATATACCATATAATATATATAAATATATGTATATACTTAGCTATACTTGTAGCCATTTTGTACAATAATTTTCATTAATTTCTATTAACTATATATGTGTGTGTGTTTGTATGTGTGTGTGTGTGTGGTTTGTATTTCCTTCATTTTTTTTTGTGTTTTTCTTTTAGCTAGCCTACAAAACTTAATTTATATATGACAACATAATCTTTACCTATAGTTAGTTATTTTTTATGATTTTATTTGATTTTCAATTTTGCTTTCGCTAATTAAATATACCATTTATAACTAATTAATTAAAACAAACAATTGAAAAGAGTCTCGTGGTCTCGTTTTTTTTTTTTTTTTTCTCTAAAAACTAAAACAAACATAATATAAGGTTTTCAAATTAGGAAGAACTCTGTGATTAGATTTGGAAAACGGATCAGAATTGTTGTGGGTAAATGGGTCGCGGGTCGCGGGGGGGAGTGGTGGTGGGTGGTGGGTGGGCTAAGCCTTATTATACTAAATAGATGGGTTCATTTATTTACACACGAAATAAATGTTGATTTTGTTATTATTATTTATAGTTCTCATATTATACATACGACTCACAGCACTTCAGGAGTTTTGTATTTTTTTTTTTTGTATCATTTCGAAAAAGAAACTATAGATGTCTATATATCATGTACACTATCTCATATACACACACAGATGTATACCCCACCACCCCACCCCCGCGTTCCATGCCCCACTCTCCCCCACACACACGCGCGCACCTCCACGCGCTCACACCAACACACACGCGCACACAAATCCTATCTCCACACACACACACACCCACACACACACGCACACACACACACATAGACAGGCCAACACACAACTAGCTTAAAGTGGCAACTACATTTTTAGATTATGCCTGAAAATTCGAACACAAATTGTTGGCTTTTCTTTACCAATCCACATTTTGAGCAACCACTTTAAGGTGTGTGCGTGTGTGTGTGCGCGTGTGTGTGTGGTAGTGTGTGTGTGTGGTAGTGTGTGTGTGTGTAGAATGGTTTTGTGTGCCCAAATGCGATATGCTTAGACATTTGATATGCGCTCGTTGATGTTTTGGTCATTGCCGCTTCCACCACGTGGCTGTTGGCCTGGCCGGGATTGTGGCCAGGCGTATCTAGCCTGGTAGCGGTGCTGCTGCTGTTGTTGTCGTTGTTGATAGGGCCACACTCAGGTGGGCTGCAGCATATACATATACTGTCAGTTGCTGGCCGTTGCCGTCGACACAGCCACCGGCGTCGGCAGCGTGATGATTTCATTGGTGTTGCTTCTGGCACGCTTCTCGCTGCTGCCACTGGCACTGCCGCTGCCAGTGGTATCCGTTGGATTGTCGCTCTCATCGCCATTGCTGCTGAAGCTGCTGTTCTGCAGACGCCGCTTCAGACTGTGGCCATGGCTGTGACTGTGACTGAGGCCGAGTCCGTTGGTGAGCGTCTCATCCTCGGACATGGAGCTGGCACGCTTCGGTGTGTTGCCGGCACTGTCGTTGTCCAGCGAGGCAATGGCCGAGGCAGCGGCACTGTTCGCCGCACTGAACCCATCCTCTGAGGCGCTGTCCTGACCGGCAGCCGGTGCATCCGCCGATAATTGCAGCATGCCCGACGGCGTTGTGTAGCCACTCAGCTTGTTCGGATCCTTCTCGAGCAGCTTCTGTGCCAGCAGCTTGAGCGAGATGAGCGAATTCTCACAGTCGCTGGTATCGATCTCCGTCAGACTGATGCCAGCCCGTTCGATCTCGGCATAGGTGCCAAATGGCAACTTCTGCAGGCACTCCAACTTCTGCACGTGTGTCTTGGAGCGCAGATGCTTGGCCAGATGGCCGTGGATGCGAAACGCAATCTTGCAATCGGTGCACTCGAAGGGACGCGGATTGGATGTGGTTGGCACACCAAACGTTGATGTCATCATCACTTTGTTGCGGTGCGCCTCGCTCCTCTCGTGCTTCTGCAGGTGACCCTGGGTGCGGAACGAGATGCTGCACGGCTCGCACTTGAACTTCCGTTCCATGTAGTGGATGTTCATGTGCAGCGTCAGCTGATGCGTTCGCTGGAACGTCTTGTTGCAAACGGTGCAAGTGGGTCGCGCATCACTCGCTATGGGCGGCGGTGGCGGCTGTGGCACCACACGATTCGTATACGTTGCACCTGCTGTTGCCGCTGCTGTTGCAGCTGCTGTTGCGCCGCCAGCAGACTGCAATTCGTTGCTGCCGCTGGTTGGTTTGAAGCCATCCTCACCAACGACCACAATACGCGTGGGTGCAGTTGATCCACTGCTGCCGCTGCTGCTGTTGTTATTTTTGTTGCTGTTGCTGCTGCTGCTGCTGCTGAGTACGCCACTAAAATCGGTGGCATCTGGCTGCTGCACTGCAGCAGGCAAATTGGCATTGTGCGGCTGCAGAATCTCTGCACTCGACTTGGAGCTGGAAACAGGTACAGCAACTGAGACAGAGACGGTTACTGGTACAGGAATGGATGTTGTTAGGCTTGGTTTCTCCTGATCCGATTGCGTTTCGCTTTCCTCACTCTCCTCGGCGGATTTGACAAGTGCCGGCGATGGCGTTGGCGACTCTGGTGTCTTCACCTCGTGCACCTCAATGCTGGGCAGCTCAGCGATGTTCAACTGTGGCTTGCTGTTAACAATGGGCGTGGTCACAGCACAGCTAATGGTAACGCTGCTCGTGGTCGAGTTGGAGCTGCAGCTGCTGATGCAGTTCGAGTTGGAGTTGGTGGTGGAAGTGACCAGGTAGCTGCGACTGAATTGGCTCTGCTTCATTTTGGCATGCTGCAGCGCCTGCTCCTTGATGTACGTCTGCAGGAGGACATCTTCGCCCTCGCTTTCGCGCTTTGCCTGCTCCTCAATTTCGGCAGAGATGCGCACCTTGTCGGAGACAGAGATTAGGGTCTTCATGAAGCCGCACTCGTTGTTGCCCGTGCCAAAGATTACGTCACGCATCTGCTGCGCCTGCGATTTGGGTGTCTGCGCCAGCATCTGGTCGGCAACGGGCGACGAGGCCGCCACTGAAATGCTAGGCATTGGACGTGGCTTGGTCAGATCCATGGGTGCGCTGCTCTCATCGTTGGGCACACCGCGCTTGGGTTTGGACTCCTCGGGATTGGAGTAATACTGTTCCTGCTTCTGGTAGTCAAACGGCGGCTTGGGCGACGTAAACGAGCAAACCTGTCGCTTTGGCTGCGAACCGCTGCCAGCTGCGCTGCCAGCCGAGGAGCCAATGCTGTTCGCTGGACTGGCAGCCGGCGTATCCTGGACCAGTGCCGGATACGGTGAAACACTCTGCGGTATCGGCGGCGTCATCGACAGCGACAGCAGACCCCGTGCCGCCTCATGCTCCTTCATGCGCGACTTGGACTCATCGGTGTCTAAAGGTCAATAAAGGAGGAGGCTATCAATATGCAAATGTAGAATAAAGTTAGATGATTTAGACTGACCACTGCTCTCGGACTCGTTGTCGCTGTAGTCATCCGAATCGGATTCACCGGCCATGGAGGAGGTGCGTCCGCCTGCCGATGTCGACGATTGCTGATCAAAGTCATCGACATCAAGGAACTCGCCGTCGGCGGGCATCGGTCCCGGATTGATGCCCAGCTCGTGGCATTTCTTGAAGTGCGTCTTCGACTGCATGTGCTTGGTGAGATTGCCCTTGGTCTTGAAGCTGCAATTGAATGAATAGTTGAACGATTTTAAACCAAGGCGCATAATCAAGTCAAGCAGAGAGAGAGAGAGAGATAGAGACCTAGGAGATTCAAGGATATTCAGGGTTTCTAGCTAGACAAATATCCATCTAGCTAGACAGATACCCATTTCAGCTTCAGTTTGTGCTCACCTGAAGCTGCAGTGACTGCAGGTAAATGGACGCACATCGGTGTGGGTGCGTATATGCTTCTTGAGCATGGATGGCTTCTTGCAACGTATTCCACACTCGGAGCAGACGTAGCGACCACGACCCCGTCCACGAATGTACGTGTAATCCTCATGCGACTCATAACCACCGACCAATAGTTGACCCGTTTCCAGCTTCTTGGCGGCCGCCTCCTCGCTGGCCTTGGCTGCCACATTCGCCTCGCTGAGCGCGCCAATTGATGGCGGCTGTTTCAACTGGTGCTGGTAGAACTTGCTCTGTCCATTGGCCGTCGTTGAGCAAGTGCTAACCGTTTCCTGTGAACTGAAGACAGAGTACTGCAGTTTGCCGGCACCCGCCATTGCTGTGGTGCAACCAGTGCCGAGCATCTTTTGCCTGGAATCGTAGAGAGCCATCACCTGTTTGGGCTTGAAACCGAGCGGATGCGGCTGATTCTCCTCGCACACCTGCCACACACTGTACATGGACAGCTTGTGCATGCCCGCCACATACGAGGGCTGCGGACAGTTAACCGTACAGTAGAACATCTTCGTGCTGCACTTGAGTCCCAGATAGGTGTACGCATGGCCATTCAGATAGAGTTGCACGCACGACTTGGAGGGTCTCGGGGTTTCCGGTGAGATCAGGGGCAGTGTATTGGCAGTCGGTGTGATGCCATGATGTCGCTTTGGGGTAAAGGTGCCCGGCTTTAGAGGCAGACTGGTGGGTCGCAAGAATTTCGACTTGGCACTGCTCGTTGCACTTGTTGCAGCTACTAGAATTGCAGTGGTTGTTGTTGTTGTTTTGATTGCTGCTGCTGCTACTGCTGCTGCTGCTGCCTCATCGGGCGTGTCAACGTGCAGCGGCGCCAGCGCCTCCTGCGATTTGTTCACATTATCGAAATTAAAGTGACGCACCTCCAGCATACCCATTGCCAGTGCCTGGGCCTGTTGCTCCTGCACAGCGGAGCTCTTCACATTATCCGCCATGCGTAGAAAATTGAATGGTGGCTTCTTGGCCAGCGTGCCGTCAGCCACAATCACTGGCAGCTTATTGCTGCTACTGTTGCTGCTGCTGTTCGTCCATTGGAGCGCATTGCGTTGCGCTGGCGTTGGTGGTTGGCGACTGAATTCGCTGGGCAAATTCTGTACGCCACCGAAGGGCGAGAGTGCCTTGAGTGGGCCCTCAGCTGCCAGCAGCGGATTGAGATTGATATTGAGATTGGCATTCGTATTGGGACTGGGCTGTTTGCGATTGGGGCTGCGTCCACGCTGCAGCTGCAGTGGCGGTGGCAGCAACGATAAGCTGCCCGGACCGGGTATGCCCGGCACATAGGGTATCGCTTTATCCACAATGTTGCTGCTGCTGCTGGTGCCGATGCTGTTGCTCATCGGTGGCAAGGGTGAGCGGATTGAAGGCGGTTATCGAATTGATTGGTGGAAATTGGAAATGATGCGGCGTGTTGGACCCGCTGAGCAGGAAACCATTATTATTATTATTATTGTTATTGTTGTTGTTGTGGTTGTTGTTATTGTTGTTGGCAGCGAGTAGTTTGCGCTCCTTGATGTCGCTGAGACGTGGCGACATCTCCTGGAAACTGCCGCCGGACAACAGAGGAGTGCGTATCATTTTGGGACTCTTGTCCAGCTCGGGACACTCGGAAATGGGTATCATGGTGCCGCCGGATGATGTAAAGCGACGCAAACGCTCCTCCTTGCCAATTAACGGCAACTCTGAATTGCCAGCAAAGAGCATACCGACGACAGATGGCAGCGTGAACGATGTCTCGCCACTGCTCAGCTTGAGCCGTTTCGATGGCGCCTCAACGATAATGTTCTCCAGTCGATCCTCGTGCATTTTCGTGATGACCACCTGGGCATCGGGCGCTTTGCGTGGCGCCGCATAATCCACCAGCGGTGTCTTGCCGAGCAGCGGACCCGGCGATGGCAGCGGTGCGTCCACAAAACGCAAAGCAACGCTGGTGGCATCAATGCTGGGCGGGATTACAACAGCTGTTGCTGCTGTTGCTGGTATGTGATTGCTGCTGCTGTTGTGATTGATGCTGCTGCTGCTGTTAATGTGGTTGCTGCTGCTGCTGCTGCTGCTGTTGATAGCCGCTGTGACGGTTGAGGTGCGTGCGGGAGATTGTGCCGCACTGAGACGACTGAGAACCAGGCTGCTCGGCTTGGTTTTTAGCTGCGACCAGGCAACCTTGGCGAGCTTGGCCAGCGACAACGGATTCTTCGAGTTGGCCATGTGCGATTGGAGCTCTGGCAGGCTAAACGATATGGAATTGGAGCGAAAGTATTTAGTGCTCGGCGATGAGGCTGGACTGATCGGTGCACTGCTGTTCGCATCCTGGCAGTAGGTGCTGTTGTGGTGCTTCAGCTCGTCCGCGCTGCGAAACTTACTGGCGCAAATGGGGCAGGAGTAGACGGCATCATCGCCCTCGCCAATTGGCACTGCCAGGCCACGTGCATTCAACAGCAGATTCTTGATTATGGATATATTCGGTGCTGCCGCTGGCGCTGTTGTTGCTGTGCTCTTTGCAACAACAGTTGTTGTTGCTGATGCGGCTGCTGTTGCTGTTGGTGTTGGTTTTGCTGGCATTGCTAGCGACGGCTTGGGCTTGGCAGACAAATTCAGTGGCAAGGGTTGCTGCAACTGCTGCTGCTGCTGCTGCTGCTCCAGCTTGGGCACTGGCGTTGACGGATCCTGGCGATACTGCAACTGTTGCAACGGCAACGGCGATGGCGGCGGCGGCAACTGTTGCAACTGTTTCACATTTACAGTGGCTGCGGCGATTTGTGTTGGGGTCGCTGTGCCCTTAAGGCTGGCATAGCCGCTGCTGGCTGTACTGCTTGCAGAGCTGCTGCTGCTGCGCTTCAGCAGACCATTCACAGGCGGCTCCAGTTGTTGTTGCTGTTGCAAGTATAATTGGTACTGTTGCTGCTGCAACTGTTGTTGCATATGCTGCTGTTGCTGTTGTTGCTGTTTTTGTACTATTGCCTGTGCCAGGTTCACTTTAGTCTCGCCCAGCTGCTGATTGCTGTTGTTGTTGTTGTTGCTGTTGCTGTTGGCGTGCGCTGTTGTTGGTATACTGCTGCTGCTGTTGATGTTGCTGTTGCTGCTATTGTTGTTGTTGCTGTTGTTGTTGGCATTGTTGAAGCTGCGCGAACGATTCAGCTGCTTGGGATACTTCTTCTGCAGCAGTATCTCCTTGTTCTCCACAATCGCCTCGTTCTGTGAGATCAGCTTGGAGATGTGCTCCTGCACCTTTTCCACATTCTGTGGCAGGGCAAAAATTAAAACGGTTTTTTTAAGAAAATGGAATTTTCTATTACAACATTTATTGACTTACCACTTGCATGCCGCCGCTTGAGCTGGCAAAGCTGCTCAGATTGGTTGGCGGGTTGGGTGTGGCTGGTGTTGGCAGCGCTGCTGTTGTTGCAATCACTGCTGCCTGTTGTTGGCTAGTGGAGCGCAACAGCTGTTGAGAGGGGGAGGGGAGAGAGGTGGTTACTCCAGTTATAGTCGCAGATTGTGTCTCAACTTACCTGCTGCTGTTGCTGCTGTGGCGCCTTCAGCAACGGCGAGTGTTGCTGCTGCTGCTGTTGGTGATGCTGCTGCTGCTGTTGCTGCTGCTGGTGTTGCTGTTGCTGCTGTTGGTGATGCTGGTGTTGCTGTTGCTGCTGCTGCTGTTGCTGCTGCTGTTGTTGCTGCTGCTGCTGCTGTTGCTGCTGCTGCTGTTGCTGCTGCTGTTGTTGCAACTGAAAATGCTGCTGCAACTGCATCTGCTGAATGGCCAACGCATGCTGATGCATTGCAGCTGCAGTTGGATTATAATACTGCGGCTGTCCCAAGTAATAAACGCCTGGCGGCGGCGGTGGCAATGCAGACAATGCAACCGGATTGGTTGCTGCAGCCGCCAGCAGCAAGGATTGCTGGGCGTGCAAATGCTGTTGCTGCTGCTGCTGTTGGTGCTGATGCTGCAGCTGCAGCTGCAACTGATGCGAATTGATGTGATTGTTGAGCTTCAACTGGGTGCTGGGCGAGAGCGTTGGATGCGCCAGCGATGGTTGCTGCTGCTGCTGCTGTTGCTGCGCTGACAGTTTGTGTTGCTGCTGTTGTGGTTGCAGCAACGCCTGCTGCTGTTGCTGCTGCAGTACCTGCTGCTGCTGTTGCTGTTGTTGTTGCTGCTGTTGCTCCTTGAGGGTGCCGGGCGCATAAAGGGATGCATTGTGAAACTTGGGCTTGTATGGCTTGTAGTCGAGCGACTGGCGATGCTGAGCGGTCGCCGAGTGCAGCGAGTCAGCGGTCGGGGCGGGCGGCAGTGTTCCGGCTGCTGGTGAGCCCAGCGGCAACTGTTGCAGCATATGCTGTTGCAGTTGCGGCTGCTGCAGATACGTACTCTTCGCCGCCGACAGCGTCGATGGTGATGGCGTCGGCGAGGCCATTGCCTCATCATAAGGCGAATCTGTGCGACTCAACTGCAATGAGCAAAATTGTTGAATTATTGCAATTGATAATATCGGATATATATATATATGTATACTACACTATATATATGATTATAACAGAGCCTTATTTAGTTTATAAAATATAGAAAATGATAAGCTTTTTATATGTTGATCTAGCTGACTTTTTGGCTATCGCAAGGAATAATTTGGATTATCTAAGAGACGTCTAACTAAGTCTAAGTTTAGAAATGAAGCTTAAGCTGCAGCTGTAAGAATGGCAATCAAACATTGTTGCAAGTGGCAGCTTAGTAGCAAATAAAATGTGGACTGCAGCAAGACAATAAAATGAATTTGGCATTTTCTATATTAACTTTAACTTGATTGTTATTGTTATTAACAATAATCGATAACTTACAACTTCGACGCTTAGTAGCTCGGAGCTGCTGTTGCTCAGCTCCCCATCGCCGTCCTGGTCGGACAGACCGTCCGTCTCATTGGCTGGCACATCGAGGCCGCGCATGCGCGCCAAATGGGAACGGGAACGGCAGTGTTTGTACAGGTTGCTCTTCGTTTTGAAGGCGATGCCACAGTTGTTGCACGGATACGGTCGCTCATTGGTATGGGCCCGAATGTGCTTCTCCAGCACCGATGGCTTTGCACAGATCAGATTGCAATAGGGGCACTTGGGGCGACTAGTTTTCTCGCCCAATCCTGCGACTGCAACTGTTGCTGGTGCTGTTTGTATTATTGTTGTTGCTGCTACTGCTGCTGCTGCTGTTGTTGTTGTTGTTGTTGCGGCTGCTGGTGCTGCTGGCGTTGGCTGCGTTTGTTGCTGATGCTGTGCGAATGTTGCTGGCGACAGTGTTGCATTGCTGGCATAGTTAATATTGCTGTTGCTATTACTGTTGCTGAGGGGCGTGCGTGTTCGAGGCGCACCAGCAACACCAGCAACATTGCCATGCTTGTTGCTGCTGCTGTTGTTGCTCTCATCATGACTGTTGTTATTGTTGTTGTTAATGTTGATGTTGTCGTTGGCATTTACGAAATTGGCACTGAATTCAACATTTCTTGCCGGCAGCAAGGGAGCAACCTTCACCGTCACATGTCCATTGAGCAGCGGTGCTGCGGCCACTGGCAGCGGTGGCGACAACGAGCTGTTCGATGACAGCGATGTGGTGCGCACCGCTGCCATTGCATCCACCGACTCTGGTTCGGTGGTGCTCGCCAGCCGCTTAAACTTTTTGTGCAAATAACGCAAATTGGTTGAGCTCGTCCAGCCATCGACAATTGTTGCTGTCGCTGTTGTTGGATCCTCACTGCTGCTGTTGTTGTTGTGGTTGTTACTGCTGCTGTTGTTGTTGTTGCTGCTGCTGTTCTGGTTGTTGTTATTGTTGCTGGTGGTGTTGGCTGTGGCTGGTATTGTTGTTGCTGTTGTTGTTGTTGCTGCCACATTGCTAGCTGCGCTGCTTGCCACCTGCTGTAGCGTCATTTTGCTATCACTTACGTTCGCTTTATCCTTAGCCTTAAACTCATAATTATTCTCACTAATACTATTATCACTGTGGTGGCTGTTGTTGTTGTTGTTGCTGCTGCTGTTGCTGTCTGCAATTTCGGCTGGCAGCTCGCTTAATTTATCTCGCGAGCTTTTGCTCTCAATTGCTGTCGCAGTTGCTGTTGTTGTTGTGGTTGCTGCTGCTGCTGCTGTTGTTGCTGTTGCAGCTTTGTTGTTGTTGTTTGCTTTGTTGCTGTTTGATTTGAGTGTTGTTGTTGTTGCTGGTGTTGGTGTTGCAGCAATTTCGTTGTTGCTGCTGCTGCTGTTGCTGTTGCGATATGTTTGCTTCTTAGTTGTTGTTGTCACTGTTGTTGCTGTTTCTGCTGCTGCTGCTGCTGCCGCTGCGGCTGCTGTTGCTGTTGCACGTCGCGTGCTGCTCACTTTGTTATTGTTGTTTTTGTATTGTTTGCTTGTCGCTGCTGCTGTTGTTTTGTACTGCTTCGCTGTGTTTGTTGCTGTTGTTGTTGTTGTTGTGGCACTTTCCATAGTAACATCAAATTTGCTCGCCTGCGTTGAATTCGCCGCCGGCTCATCTGCAAAACCGAAACAAAATAAAAATTAAATCAATAAAACCATTAACCAAATGTCAATCAATAAAATAATGAACATAAAAATGCAAATCAAATAAATCAATTATAAATATAAACAAAAAATAGAGTATAATTTAGTATAAATCATAGATTAAAATTACTTTATAAATAAATATAAATAAAGACTAGAAAAGGCAGCAATATTGGGCACTATTAAAAGTGAATTTGTATATAAAATAATATACATAATAATAGAAATATATATCATATAATTTCACAGTAGTATGTAATTTCACAGTAATAATAATCACATGTTCAAATTACTTTATAAATATATGTAAATAAAGCAATTTGCTGCTCAGAATAGTGGGCACTATTAAAAGTGCATTTAAATAAATAAAAATATAAATATATAAAATATAATTTCACAGTGGATCATATTCGAGTGGCTTCAGCTGTTTTGTGGTTTCAGTGAAACTTTGAAACATTTACTATCGCAGCGCTGATGGAGCTCGCAGCTCTTAGCTCTCAATCTTATCAGAGGGCTGATAAGCGAGCACAAAATGGCACAAATGGCTACTGGGGGCTTTGCAAATAAACTGTGAAATATGTTTGGGTCAGCTTTAAATAATACTGTCTACGATATGCATGAAAACAAGCATAAGCAGCAAAAGCAAGCAAAAAAAAAAAAAATGCCGAGCGATAAGCAAACATTTTATCAACTTTCTATTTCAGCCAAGTTAACAGCTCACCTGTTGCTCACCACGAAATTTCATAAAAAAAAAAAGAGAAAAATAAATACACTTAAACTAAAGCGAAACCTATCCTAAAATGCAAAAACATTCGCAACTGAAACTAAAACATATAAAAAAAATAAAGCAAAGTGAGCTGATTGTTGTTGTTGGGTCGTCTTATCAGCTTTTAATGTATGTCTGTTTGTATGTATATATAATTAAACTGTACAGTTTAGACTCTACACAAATGCCATTGTGAACTATATACACACATACAACACAGATACACACAAACACACACTCACACATACATATATAATTAGTAAATCTATTCGCAGAGCGGCAGTCAGGCAAAATAACTCAAAACTCGGGCGTTAATTGACTCTTGCTATACAGCTCGACTCATATATATACATATACACACATATGTGGACACATTTATGTTTATCATGTATTGCAATTTGCCATTTCAACTTGTGTTTATAAATAAAACTAATAATATCAAATTTGCCGAAAAATTCCGTTGATAATGTGCAGCTAGGCATGGCCTGCTGCTGTTGTTTTGGGGAATTCTTATCAGCGATTTGTGTTTTGTGTTTTGTGCTGGGTTCACCTGAGTCGCATTACTCACACACAATCAGGCAACAAAAATGCTTGCGATAAATGACACTTGTAAGAGGCACTCAACAACCCCCCAACCACAGCCCCTCAACCCCCACCCACACGACTCTGCTCTGACGTCAGCTGTCGAAGTAATTAGACAAGTTTTCTTATTTGTTTTTTTTTTTTAAGAGATTTAAGGCATTGCTTAGGGCTTTTCACAGTGCATATGACGTTGATTAAAAGCAGCAATTATATAACCACAAAGCAATTGAATTGCATTACAACCCCCCAGTCGACGGCGTCTGGTTGGTGTGAATGGGTCAAGTCAATTTGTGTGGAATTTCCAACAACTGTGGAATGGCCATCGATTATATGGAATACGGAATATGGAATTTATGTAAAGCAATTCACGAGTCAAGTTCATGTTTACCACATACTACACATACACATACATATATATATATATATATTGGTAATTTTAGCCACATTTCCAACTGATTGCTTCAGTTATGCAATAGTGTTCGATCGATTAAGCGTTTACTATAGAAACTAAGCCTAACTAATCATTAGTCGTATATGAAAACGAAAATAATGATTAATTATCAAACACGTCAAGATGAAAATAATAATATTATAAATATGAGAAAAGCAAATATTTAACTAACGCTAGACGCTGACGCTATTAACATTGTATTTATTTTATCATGAGTTACAATCACATACAACTGTAATTTATTTTAGTCCCCATATGCATAGCAACTAAGTACAGTGTGTACACACACACACACACACTCAATATACATGTGCACATTAAATTGAGCGAGTTACACTTGCATTTTGCAATTATTCATTAGTTGCCATATTCCATATCAAGGGAATGCATGTCACTCTGGTCACACTGTGATCACTACGTCACACGAGAGCTTTTTTTTTCTTATTTATTTTTATGCACTCGCAATACGCTTGATTAACGTACGCCTCTCGCACTCACGCGTGCCCCACTCACAAGTGCAAGCACACAAAAACACACACACACACTCACATACACAGACATAAATACACCCACTCGATAATGAGCACAAGGTATGCGCAAAAAACGGCGCCACTGTTCGTCTGTCAGCGCAGATTTCAACTTATACGTCACATTTGCAGCTGCAAAGTGTGAGTGTGCGTGTGTGTGTGCGCGTGTGTAACAAGTTAAAATTGAGCTTGGTCAGCTACCAGTTGATAATTGCTAATTGTTAATCACTTATAAGCCATGTGTGAGCGCAACTCAAATAAAAAGTAATCGAGTAGTGCAGAAGCATGGCGCAAAAATCACGTAAAATTCGCGGAAATGATACGGAATTCCAATGAAGTCGAAGCGGCGTCTGATAATATAAAAAAACGGCTAAGGAAATTAAGACTTAACAGACATATTCAAACATTCACACACATACACACACCCACACACAAACACACATTGATTATGAATAGTGAGTGCAGCAAGCTAAGCTCATTCAATCGTACCTGATGATTATTCAGTCGGTCAATCGCTCTCTGTGAGTATCAATAAGCGAATGAATATCGATAGAAATTGTGTTATCGGTAAGAGGCGACAACACTAATATCGGTTTTATTTTCAAAGCAAATTGGGCATATCAACAACAAAAACAAAACAACAATAAAACGGAAAAAATATGACAACGGCAGAAATGCGTCCGTTCATCGGTTAAAGCGCTCGCGACAACGAACAACGAGCGATGTGCGATGAGCGACGAGCGGCGACCGTCGAGCATGAAACAGTTAAAGACAACTAGACGAGGCAAGCTGAAAAATTCATTCAAAGACCCAAGTGCCCAAGTGGCAAAAGCAACAGCAGCAGCAGCAGCAGTAAAAACAGCAACAACAACCAGACACAAATCAGTTTGTGTGTGTGTGTTTGTGTGTGCGAGAGTAGTGTGCACAAGAAAATGAAGAAGCGACGGGACGCGACTAACTGGCGAAAGAGCAACGCGAAAACAAAAGCACACACACAAACAGAGCAACAGCAGCAGCGATAGGAGTAAAAATGTGTAAATAAAAAAGTTTTAAAAAAATACCGTACAATAATCAAATAATTGAGTGAGACAGCGAAAGAAAACAGCAAATAGGGGAAGGGGGAGGGTGGGTGAGCAAGAGCAAAACTGTAGTCGTCAAAGTCGCGAGTCGCCGACGCCGCATACCTCAATATTCGCAGTCAGTTCGCACACTGTTGCAATTGTCAATCATAAGTAAGCAGCAATGGGACGCCGCTGCTGCTGCTGAGAAATGATCAAATCAAGCAAAAACGTAGCCAACAACAACAACAGGTGACGCGACGTAAGGGAAAACAACACGACGGCGGCGGTCGTCGCTAGTCCGAACACGAACCCGAAACCGAACCCTATTGTCGATTACGTACGTACACACACACATACACATAGCCACATGCATAAGCACGCGCACGCACACATGCACTAGCACCCCACCAGTAAATATGTATATATGTGTGTCTGTGTACATATGCGAATTTTTGCTGACTAAGGAAGGTCTGGGGAGCACCAGCAACGTCGAAACGAAACGAAACGATAACAACAAAGCATTTCAAACGTTGAAGCACAGCACAAAACGTAGCAGTGGAAAAAAGTGATAATAAAATAATAATTGCTACACATACACACGCACACAGCCTGTACACACGTATTTTCGAGCGACGATCGTTCGTCTGTTGAGCGACTATGAGAGAGAGAGAGAGAGAGACGCGCGCTAAAGCGCTAGAGTTGCCGCAGCTGTCTACACACGATACACAGTACGATACGCCCCCCGCCCCTGCATGCCCCTTGGCCATTGCACACGAGTGGAGCACGAGCAGACATGTGGCGACGTTCATATGCATGGCTAGCATTTAGCCTGTTTTCAATAGCACTCTTACCCATACCACTGCACACAATGCGAATGTGTGTGTGAGTGTGTCTCCCTATATGCATACATACGTACATATATAGGCAACATGACTAATGCAAACAACTTGACAACACTGTCGCCGCTGCCGTCGCTGTGGCCGAGCGCTGACGCTGCCTGCGCTTTGCTTTTGTGTGTATTATATTGAGTCAATTCACAAGAAACGAGGAAACCCGCCATTCGTCGTCGTTGCTGTTGTTATTGTTGTTGTTTTTGCTGCTGCTGCTTAAATTTGTTTATATTTATGTACATGATGTCTGTATGTATGTATGCATGAGTGAGTGTGGGCATGTGTATGTGGTGTGTGTGTCAGTCAAGCTGTGTGCGAGCATGAATCAAGCTAAAAATTTTAATCATTTTGCTCGTTTTTGTTGTTATTTTTGTTGTTGCCTGCCCCCGGCCTGACTGCAAACGAGTTTAGCTTGTTGCGTGTTTATGTATGTATGTGTGTGTGTGTGTTGGTCTGTGTGTGTTGCGAGTGAGTGCTGGGCCTGGGTTTGGTTGTGGCCTGCCTGTGTGTGTTTTGGGGCAGCGCTACTTGTTTTCATCGAAACACAGGCGATAATATGACACCAACCAATACAATTGCAATCACCGCTGTTATAGCTTTCTAGAGCGCTTAATAAGCATTTTTTTCTTTTTTTGCTCACTCTCTCTGTCTCTGTCTCACTATCTCGTTCGCTCTCTTCTTCCTTGTTGTCCGCT